TACATTTCTTAAATTTCTCTTTTACTTTTGATTTTAATTAAGTTATAATTGTACACGTTTTGATTTCGGCTAAAGTTGAATTATTCAAAGACAGGGGAAGAGATAAGAGATCTTTTTTCCTGCATTTTTTGTAACTAATTTATGTAATTTATTTTGTAGATAAAAAATTTTTTTTTTGTATGTATTATGCTAAGAAAAATTAGAATGAAAGCACATCAGGTCCAGGGGTAGCTTTCCACTAATGATGTGGACCAAGTGTTTTTATACAGGGGGTACATACTAAAACTCCTCAATGTCAAATTATAAATCCGTGGTTAAACCCTGGTGAGGATCCACTAGTATTTTATAAGTTGCAATAGGATCCCCCGACGGCTATTGAATTTAAATGAGCATATTCCACCCCCCTGATCGCAATTTTCTTAAACTTTTAAGTTTGCTATGCACCCATGTTTTCGAGGTCTGTTTTTTTGTAGGAAATATGGACAAACACTCTAAAATGAGAAAGGATATGCCCAATGCATTGTATCGTTGTTTATGTAATATGAAGAGCCCACTTAAAACAATTTTAGAATTTTGAAGAGACAAAATTAATCGGTTGGAGTGGTACATGTATATGAGAATGTAATGCACTTAAAGAAAAAAAATCAGCAATACGTAAACCAGATTCAATGAAAATCTAATGATTTCAGAAAGAGAGATGCTGACTATATGTACAGTATCATATTATCCTCTAAAACTGATTCTGTTAATTTTAGTTATTATTTATCATTTATTAAATTGTTTCTAAACATTTCTTTTATTTTTAAAATTATTTATTATTGCAAAATGATTTAAGAGCATAAAAATTTCGCCTGCCTCTCCCTCTCTCCTTTTTTCCTTAAAATGATGTGGACGTTTTTGCGTACAAACGTACGCCTGGCTACGCGCCTGAGGTCCATAATTCATTGTCTGCTGACCTTGCCCCGTGTCCATGATTGTAACCTATCATTGGTAACGATTTGCTCAATAATTATGTACACAATGGTAGAGTCACCCAACCATGAAGCTTGGGCTTGGGGTGTACCAAGTGATTTGGTAGCAGCAAAAATCCTTTGTTCGAGGTGTGAAACATGTACTAATGGAGGTTAAAACAACCATGTTAACAAATATTATTTGTCATTGGCTCGTAGTTTGGCTGATGTGTTTTATACCGAGGTTTAGGCCTTGATTTTGTTGAACTAACTTGACTAACAAATATTCGGTCTAGCTTACCAACATCTGAGGACCATGGGAGGGAGTGACCGGTCTGACAGGCAATGCTCCTCCTAGATACATATTATATAAATGGTGCCTGTTTTGGAGGGTAACAGTTGAAATTGACACCCCTCGGAAAACCATTGTCAACCTCCGCTGTCGCGTCGGTTGACAATGGTTTTCCTTGGGGTGTCAATTTCAACTGTTACCCTCCAAAACAGGCACCATTTATTTTATTATACTGAATGTCTTGTTGATTTAGGATGTCAATAAAAAAAAATCGTCGATCGTCTTTACGTTCACGTTTAGAAAGCTTTCAAACTCCCTGCTACTTCGAAAAAGATTTACTGACCTCTTTATTGTTTGTTTGATACCCTGAAAGTCCTTTATCATCTAAAGTTTCGTTATTTCTGCACTTGCAATCATGTTTCGTCTGTCGTTTGTTGTTTTCAAGTAAGCTACATCGGACGCAAGCTTTTATTGACGTTAGGTTTATTCCTGTTCTTTCAAACGCGCAACTAACGCTTGTAGAATTCTACGGTGAACCGTACGCGCATTACCGTTGTGTTACCCGTTGCCACGTGTGTTGCTAAGGCTGAGGGTAATAGAACGGACTGTTAACTGCGTCTAAACCAATCAGATTTTAGTATTTAACTTGAAAGTATAATAATACAAATTGTAGAATTTCTCCGATTTTGTGTTTAATTATTTATATAGCCAGATTTGTTTTGTTGCCAGATTTTGTTTAGAGCGTTCACAGTTTTTCACAAATAAAGTAAATACTCCTTTTTTATTGTGATATTTCTTCTGAAACAATCTCACTTGTACTTTGATAATGAAATTAAAAAAAGTACAAGTGTTTTTGGAATTTGATGTTATTGTTTGTAATCTCCGAAACTTACATAAATACAATTACAATTGTCAAGAAACCGGTATAAACCAATAGGAAGTCGTAAATAGGGTCATCTTTTAACATAGCTTCCTGTATAAGGTGTTGCTCACGACAAGTTTTAATTAATCGATATTACAAAGCGGTGTTTTCCTAAGAAATATATTTATATACTCTGTACATATATTTAAAAAACGAACAGAAAATAAAAGAGAAAGAAAAAACCCAAGTAAGACAATAGAGGGAGAAATAGCTGCATTAAAGGATTTTTCCTTTTTTAAATTAATTTTTTTTTCATTGCATTTAACTTTCATTTCACTGATTGTGAAACACACATTATATCTATAAAGAACCTATGAAATTCAAACATGGGGATTGGAAGGAGAAAACTTTCAGAGTTTTAACCACTGAATGAAACACACTAATCGAATAAATTTTAGCTTCGCAAGTTCCATAAGATCAAATGGAAAATAGTGTACACTTGAACATTTTAAATGTTTTTTTAAATTAAAATGTAAAGGAGAAAGGCATCAAGCTGGCCATTCTGTGAGAGAAAGAACTTCTTTCTCTTACAGTAGGCCCTCGATTAGTTCTTTCTCTCACAGAATGGTTAGTTTGAGGCCTTTCACCTACTTAAAACATGATTCTCTTTGTTCTGAAAATAAAAAAAAATGTGCAAAACAGGTAGCACACATACAAAAATTCATTGTTTACAGAATGGACAGTTACAGGTTAGCTTGGGGTGCACAGCGATTTTTGAATGGCCATTGTGTTTCCAGATGCAAATATCAAAAGGTCTTTGTCTAAAGAATGGACGGTTATGTGGATTTCGGGGTATGCTAGTTTTTATATAAGAATGCAACTCCTCATAATCAGTTTATATTTTGCTTTGTAAAAGCAAACATGTTTCCCTCCGATGGAGAGAATATCTGATAGAATCGAAATCGAATTGAAACCAAAAGATGCACACAACTAGTGATACTTTGACCTGGAAACAGAGAATAGTAAGCGTAAAAGAAAATATTATCCAAACTTTGATCCCCTTTAAAACTTCGACGACAAATACAGACATTTCCAATTCAAACCGGAAATGTTATTTAATTTGAATTCAGTTTTTGAGGATATATTAATTACAGCAGTGTAATGGTTAAATGCAAATTGTGTTCCGAGTGTTGGATAGCCATGAACAACACTTCGACCTGAAAATGTATATCAAATCAAATCTGGAAATGTTTCAATTTTAATTATTTTCTACCGAAATATTCACTGCAGCAGTGTAGTTTTCATAGTGCAAACTGTTTTCTGGATAATACATTTAATAAAAGCATACTTCAAGCTTAAAATGGACTCTTCTCGAGGGAATCATTTAAATTGTCATTTAAATTCAAGTTTCGTGAATTGAAATAATGTGCATTATTCATAGTTTTAAATGTGTTCTTTTTGTTATACACATGTACACATTAAATCGTATTTAATGTACATAATTTGTTTTTGTTTCCCTCTTGTGCACATGCCAAGGTTTACCTGTATCTCTCCATTCTGTTTGTTTTAACTGTCCATTCTTTTTGAAAAAAAACTGTCCATTCTTAAAAAAGAATGGACAGTTTTCCAAAAAGAATGGACACTAACAGGTGACTTAAAGGATTGTTAAGGCAGTTAGCTCAACACTAAGCTATAGAATGGATAACACAATCAAGAGGTTTACGTCACAATGTTTTAAAATAATATAATAATATGTTGAATAACAGTGAGTGAATGAATATTGTCCGTATATTTATTATGACCTTCGTTCAATGTCTCTATACAACAGAGGAGTTAAATCAAGTGAAGGGGGGTAATGCTTTGATTGTTTTTTTTCCAGATAAAGAGTTTCCTCATCCTAGCCGTCTCCCGTCGTCCTTCCACATTATTCATTATATTCCCTTTTTCACGACGTATCTATATTAAATAAGTACCATGATTCACTGAGGTCGGCTATTATAGCCTATAATAGATTATATAAATACAATTTCTATTTCATTTCAAGAGAGTCGCAGGTGAACCTTCCAACCTAAATCAAGAAAACTGTACAAAGGTAGGTGTTCTATTTGTATGCACCGTGTCATTAAATAGTAAATAACAAAATAGAATATACAAGTATATATAAACGCACATATAGAATATAAAATATAGTATGAACAATTTATGAAACAATACAAGCTATCAATAAACAAGGGGGACTCAAGGATACTAGTATAGACAGATCATTCCGCAAGTTTTATGGTCGATACTATGACCCTGTCAGCAAATGAAAGTCAAATTCTGACTGACATTTTTCAAACTAATTGTATGGTCATTATTTGCACTCTTGCGTTTTCTAGGTTTTCCCTTTTCCCCGATATGACTAAGGAGCACATGGCGCTATGAACGGTCGGCAGATGTGCTAACTTCTCCATAGCACCTGATTCCAGGTCCGTATTTAATCTGCTACTGATTTGTATTATTCAAATTGAAATTTGAGCTTGAATACTGTTCGTTATCTCCATATATTTTAAAAAAAAATGCAGTTTTATCCAGTGGTGATTGCTATTTTTTTTTTTTTTAAATATGAATGTATTGGGTGAAAAAAAAAATTTCATTAAAAGACATGCACGAAAAGCGACGTGCAAATTACCTTTATACAAATGTAAGGTACTCAATGCTCCAGGACATTAATTGCTCTGTTTTTCGTTATTGAAACGAATAAAATTGAATCATAAAGTTGATTGTTGACTGATATTTAGATACAATTTGTTAGGCAATATGTTGACATCCGTAGAAAGAATATTATCCAATGTTGACATAAGTCAAAAGAGAGTTTTGACATAAAAGAAACACATCAAATGTTGACTTCCTTTATTAGAATACTGAGTATTTACATTTTATTAAATAGAATCACTTATCTAACGTTCTCTCCGTCTTGTGAAGTTTTTGTAACAGACATCTCAGGTTGTTTAGTAGAAGATCGAGTGCTGTCCTCTGTGTCAGGGTATAAAACAAGACAACACTTACAAACCCTACGCAGCAAAAATTCCACTGTCTCCTTCCGAAACACAATATAGATCCAAGGGTCAATTATTGCATTCGTGAAAGAAATGCGTAATGCTATGCGCTCTAATTTTCCGTCTCCAGAAATGGTTCCAATGGCATGACAAAACATGACTATCTGTTAAAATTATTTGAGATATCAGTAGCTCAACGATTTTTACATTATCTGATCTTAAATCTAAAGCAAACTTAGTTTTAATGTTTTCATCGTAGTTGCCATTTTTCATGTACATTATTTTTTATCTGGGAAGAACTATAATTTTGTAGAATTTCTTTTTTCTGCATGGCATGAATTTAAAGCTACGTGAAAGAAAAAATTGTCAGTGGAAACTTTAATTAATTACATGCAAGTTATACAATGTCAATCAAAGAAATCCGCGTAATTTTCCACCAGAGGATTTATTAAAAATTGTGAACCATTAAAAAGATAATTTTTATAGAATGTTTTTCCAGTTAATTTCTATACTTACTAAAAGAGGTGATATGCAGATACTAAACACAATGACTGTGAGAATGAGGAAAATGATAATAAAGATATCCCTCTTCATCGTTTTCTTTCTCTTCTGGCGGATGTTTCGACAGAAGCTACAGATAACTAACGCGTTCAGAACTGCTGTGGTGACTAGAATCAAGATTCCTATGAGAGAATATAACATTGTCAGCACCCTACCCTTTGTGGCAACATCCAAAAAGTCATGAAAACACCATGTACCTGGAAAAAACCTCACACTTTCACTTTTGGTTATTATATGTAGACTTGATATGAAGCCAGAAAAAGTCCAAATCCCCAGTAACGTGAGAGTAGCTCTCCTGTTTTTGGTTGCAGTATTGTAGATGTGTGGATAAAGAATGGCTAGAAAACGGTCCAGGGACATGGCACAAACAATGAACGCCGAACCAAGGATCATGAACATCAAAATAAAGGCAATAAAATCACAAAGGGGATCAGGAAAATCATACTGAAAACCAGACGCGTATCGAAGAATAACAAAGGGACAAGTCAGAAATACTCCACAGCTGTCCGTCACTGCCAGCCCAGCAACATAGCGATAGAACGGGCGCCATTTGTGAGTCTTGTAGGAAGAAAAGAGGATAAAGAGAGCCAAAGCATTCCCCACAACTCCAACAATAAATAAAAGTGAGACTGGCGCCGGGGAAGGCCAATCCGGATTTGAGGTTGTCTGATTTGAAGCCATGTGAAACCTGGTGTTATAAGTTCGTTCACCGTTGTAGTTAATTGTTATTTAAATAGTGGATGTACTGGTATGTTTTGTATGAAGATCCCATGATCGAAGTTTACTTCCTTTTTGAGCTTTTAAGATTGATTTATATATGAAAGTGAAATGCAATTAACACAGTTCTGATAAGATAGATGCACACTTTAATACTGATTTTTTTCCCCTGTAAACTATCTAGCTGTGTATTTATTGGAAATTAGCCAAATGGAGAGAACGAATAGCAATCTAGCTCAAACGTCCATAAACTGAAACCTATGGATATAACGAACTGTATTCAAATGTCAGTTTTGAATATTTTTAGTATCCCAAAGAATCAAAATGATTTTGAACTACCATATATATACTGGATTCCGAAACTTCATAAGAATCCTTACAAACAAAGATACATTGCAAAACTTTTTAACTTTATATACACAACCATTCCCCACGATAAATTAAAGGCCAGGCTTTTTGATATCATTGACAGCTGCTTTTTCAATAAAAATCGAACTCGTAAATTTACTTACCTGGTCATTTGCAAAATTATTTTGTTATTTTGTTAAAACACATTCTAACGGCACACCCAAATACTCTGAAGTTGACATCAAAAAGATGCTCTTGTGAATTTTTGAGAATCCACATCTGATTTACACTACTTCTAGAAAATGCTGTAGCATAGTATCTAAAGTTTTTCCTTATTAGCAGTTAATATTTTTGTAGAGAGTAAAGATACGGGCATAGTAGAGCATTTGCTAGACTATGCAATGTACTTTTTTTGTAAGACATTTCATGAAGTTTAGGAATCCAATATTAGTTGGTTAGATCAAACGCACCTTCTTGAATGTAAATAGTTTTATAAATGGGAACGTGATTTTAATGAATTTAATCTTCAGAGAGTGAAGCGGGAATATAAGTTGGATTTCCAGGAGTAGTATTTAAACTAAACCACTGAGTTCCTCATAAATACAATAATAATGGATATTTATAAAGATGCTTACATTTTCAATCGACAGCTGACTTTTACATTTTAGTAATTGGAGTTTGTATCTCTTTAAATTGTAGAAGTCAGTCGTCGATTGTAAAAAGTAAGTCTCTTTATAAAACTCCAATAATGAGCCTTACAAACCAAAACAATCTTGTTACATGCCTTGTCAGTTGGAACCAAAACAAATATGTAGACTTTCTAATTATTTGAAATCCTTTGATTTAGTGAAAGGAAAGGATAGGTGGTTCACATATTACCTTTTGAATTTTGTATTCTTTAATATATTTCTAAACTCAGATGAATTATGAAATTATTTTCCTTTTTCATATTTAGCTAAACGTTTGAGATGGTTGCTCTCAGGTCTTTGTTTTCAACTATACTGAACATCACCTGTAAAGACGTATTTAGCAGGATTGAAAGAGTGATGAGCAGGAACGCATGAGAGGAGTTTGGTTTAGACGTTCAATATCTATCGAATGTAAGGTTTATTATTATATAAATGAAAAAGTTTGGCAGCAACAGTTTTGGAATATTTGTAGAAAATTAGCATTTTGTAGTAAATTGTACAGTCGTTGTAATAAACTTGTTAGTAAATATAACCTATCATTGGGTCAAATATCACCATTTATCGTATAACATTCCTACTTTTTTCAAGATTTGATATTTCAAACATTCATATTTAAAAGACAAAAATCTTTTTTTCCCCCAAAAGTTGATTATCTTATACATTGATACTTAAAAAGCAAATATCCTTGCCCAAAAATGATGATATTTAATACATTTATACTTGTAAAGAAAACAAAACTTGCAAAAAGTGAAGATAAATAATACATTGATACTTAAAAATCTTATTTTTACGAAAAATGATAATATTAAATAATTGATACTTATATAAAACAATCTTGCAAAAAATGAAGATGTTTAATACCTTGATACTTTAAAAAAAATAGACTTGTCAAAAAAAGATACTTTACAAATTGATATTTATAAATAAGCAAAATCTAAAAAAAAAGATGATATTTAATACACTGATACTTATGAAAAAGAATCTTGTCAAAAATGATATTTTCTACAATGATACTTCAATACTGGTCTACAAAAACCACATAGATATTGTCAACCAGAAAGTCGAGCATATATTTTATATCAACTGTAGAGTACTTGTGTGTACAATCAGACTGTTTTTCACCAAATAATTTTGCAAATGACCAATAACAAGGTACGTATATAATCTGGATTTATCGGCCATTAATTCAGTCATGCATCGGTGACTCATTTAAAAAAAAAAACGATGACTGGCATAAAATAAAGTATACTATCGTGTTGTTTGTTTTGCTAGTTCATTGGATTAAATATGTATTTCCGCAATTAAAACAGCTTAAAATAACCCCAAACTAAGAACATTAATGAAATAAACTTTATTACTTAATAGCCATTTTTTTGTTTTAAACTCAGATTGTTGTATCTTAGAGCTTTTAGTGGCTTTGGGTATGGACACCAATGAATCCAAACATTCAGACTGGGAACTGTTGACATTTTCATAGCAAAAAATTCTGATTTTGATTGAAATAAATTAAATATGTCTTAAACAATTTTATTAGGCAATCTTTAAAAAAATTGTTTGATTGCCCCTTCTTGACTGACTGACTTTAAATGCCCCGACTCAAAACTTTTAAATTCCCAGAACACTCTATGTTTTCTCTTTTTATTCCTTGAATTCCGTAAAGGCCCTTTCACAATTGGCGCACGAGCACTTTACAACACTTTGCGATCGGAAAATTTTAGCTTCGCACGAGCTCTCGCATACGTTGCACGATGTCTCGCATTCACTGCATGTGTTTTAGTGGTCGCATCAAGTCTCTTCAAAATAGTCAACATGCACACTATTCAGACCCGACCAAATGCGATCCAAATTATTGCAATTCAACGCACGAAAGTTAGTGCTAACGTCTTACAACGTTTTATGAACTCGTAAGAGTGATGTACGATTTCTAAAGATCGTAAGATGAATCGCAGCTGTCTTTGCGTGTGTTTTGCGACCATGAGACTGTTGCTCAACATGTCTCATGTAATCTTGCTACGTTTTACTATCATTGGTTGATTTATCACCTTCAATTGCCATTCTTTGCAACAGGTATATATAGCATGTATAATTATAAGCATCTTAACTATGTCAACTGAAGAGCGTCGGAAAGGGGTGGTATATATACCCGGCCCTCTGACTCGCATGAACATTCGTACTATGGAATGCATGAGTGCACGAGCACCGCACGTCCAATCGTATTGTCGCACGTTCAATCGTCCGATTACCTGATCAGTCGTGCAATCCTATCGCATTATCTTACAACACTGGCTTTCATTCTACAACAGTCGCATATAGACGCAAGATATATCGCAAGATTTAATGCACAACAGTCGCTTTAAATCGTGCGCATTTCGTACGAACACTTTTTTCATATGCGATTATTTTGGCAACAGTTTACGATCCTAGACAAAATTTTTCGGTCGCACGAATATTTTGTCGCTTCTGCTCGTGCGCCAATTGTGAAAAGGCCTTAAGCAAATTGTCCAAATTTTCAGGAAAAGAGATTTTTCTTCCTACGTACCGACCAAATAATTTTCCCCGAGCCGGGAGAGGGCAAGCAAAAGTTTTTAAGGATAGCCTTAATAAAATATATTTTAATATATTTACAAAAACAAATCAATATGGAACATGAAGTTAAGATAAAAAATAAAAATAGAAACTGGGCGGAGGCCTGCTTCAATTCTTTTCCCGTAAACATTATACCTAAATATTTTTTTATTGGATGCGAGAGGCAATACTTTCGTCTATTCAGCCCAATCGTGTATCTTTAAAGAATTAATCAATTTTATGATATCCCGAAATTCCCTACACTATTTGGTGTCTATGGAGACATTCTCTGTTTTGTTCCCAGAACTCAGTGATTGTGGTGCCCGCGGGTTTGTAGCGGAGTCCGATTGAAATTCTTTTTCTTTAGGACATAAGCGTCTGAGGCCTGATATAATGGCGTAATAGATCTCCTTCCTGAAGATGATGTAGAGCCACGGGTCCACCACAGAGTTAGTGATGCTCAGCCTGGTAAACAAAAGTTCAGTTTTACCTGCTGTTTCCGGAAGAGCTAACGAGGCATGTCCCAGAATATTCACCTAGAGAAATTCAAATCAAAACTTTTTGTTAAACAATGTATTTTTATTATTTTATCTATCCACTAATACTACTGAGAAAATGGTGTAACAAAGTGTGTTGCTTTGACCCACGTTAGTTGCATTAGATTACTGGAGAAAATGAATTAAAAAAAGAATTTTCTCTTAAAACATATATGCATTTTATTTTTTTTAAATTTATGTTTTGTGTATATCAAAGTAAAACTGAATTCCCTATACTCAAGAATAAAACGTCAGCATGTAAAGTATTTTCTTTAAAATCAATAGCCACTTAAAAAATAAAGTATCTTATTTCAATACAAAACACTGGAAATGAAATTAATGAAGATAACCAACTGTATTCAAGCCCAAAAATTCCAATAAAGATTAAAAATTTTGAAAACACGGACCTTTCAAAACAAGGAGTGATCATCTACTGTCGACCGGTCATACCCGCCGTGTGCTCCTTGTCATGATCAGAAAAAACGGGTAATTTGTTGACAATTAAGTGTGTAAATAATGGCCTTACAATTAGCTCAGTGTGTAAATAATTGAATAAAGTTATATGAGGGACAGAATAAGAAACTTTCATAGGAAATGAGAGTTTGTTCTAAGATATTTATTTAATTTGTATTAAAAATAACATTTTTATCATGCATTCAGTAATAATATTCCAGGTAAAATGACTTCCTGTAAAATGTAAACATGTGTCATGCATACAAGGAAAATAAATATATATATTTAATAAACTTTATCGAGAAGTGAACTTAAAAAATTACAAACACACTTTTTTCCTAATTAAGGCATCTTACCATTAACGGGAACCAACAGGAAGTGAAAAGAATAACCACTGTCATCAGAAAAATAATGACATGCGCATCCTTCCATCCGCTCCACGTGGACTCATTCTTGTATCTTTTGTAGACAAAGTAGACAATGACTGCAATATTGAAGGTCCAGGTAGCAAGGACAATGAGTACTCCAATCGACGCATAAATAATGGCATTAATTCTGTTAACTTCTGTGGTTGTTTCAATAAAATTCAGAAAACACCAAGTACCGGGATAGAATTTACGACTGGAACCAAGGCCGAAAAAAGGTAAACTGCTGATGAGTGCCGAAAGGCCCCATATGAGAACCACAATTATGTTTGTTCGGATTTCTTTGTGTGGTTTGTTGTAGTGAAATGGATAATATGTAGCAAAGAATCTGTCGAATGACATGCCGCAAACTATCATGGCGGACGACATCAGCGTAAACATGTACCAAAACATCTGAAAGTTACACAGAACTGGAGACAGTTCTCTCTGTAGCTCGGAGGCGTACATAGAGAGAGACACGGGTACCGATATAAGTAGTCCTCCTCCATCCGTGATCGCAAGTCCACAGACGTACCTGTAAAATGGCTTCCATTTGTGAGTTTTGGCAGTCACAAGTAATACCACCAGGGCAATTACATTTCCACCAACTCCGAACGCAAAAAGAAGATACGCCGGGACAGCATTGATAATTAGAGGTTCAGCCTCCCCGTCTGTTGTTATTATATTGGTAAATGCATCTGTTGTTGCTTTGCTGATATTGTTCCCAGCTGTATTAGTGTTCATGGTTCAGAAATTGAAGTGAATATTTTCACATTTAATTAACCAATGCTCTATTTACTTTCAAACAATCAATTCTTATATATATTTACTCTTCCTCGTTTGAATACCTTTATTCTTTTAATTCTATTCAGTCATGCACAACAAGTACTTGTCATGATTTACCTCGTCATGAATGAGATACGCCTACAGAAGTAGATGTGTAGGTACTTAGAAGCTAAGTGTATATCATGATACAGCATAAACTAGTATCCTGGTGTGCCTTGGTTGGACAACAGACCATCTCTTTTTCATGAATCCCACTCGTTATTCAAATTTTTGATTGGCTATTTCAAGACTCTTTGAGAATTGGAAAAACCATTGGTGACAGCTTTGTCATCCTATATCTATAAATTCTATTTTATTTATACTTATCAAGATTGTTACAGGTTAAAATATATCCTATTGTTAATTGCTTATGACATAAAGCAAATATTTATTTTTCTACAGGAGAGTAATCTGAAAGACATGTCATATTGTAAATTTTGAATTTACCGGGTGGCAGTAAATACAAATTGAAAGACATATGCACAAGAACGATTCCAATTTAGAGATGATAGGATGTCGGCCATAGTGACAGACAGTAACTTTGAAGATAAGTCTTAATCAAGTTTTAAGAGGTTTTATTGGCCATTTATAAAAAATATATACAACGTAAGAACTACTCATTTGTTTATCAATTAGAAATAATTTATGTTAAAAGCTTTACTATTTAATCAAACATCTGCTAAGATAAAACTGAATATTCAGCAGTTTTTATCAAGGGAGAAAAAAAATCAAAAAGAAACTTTAAAATCCCGTGCATTTGTGAAAAATGTATAATAATAGCCATTTTAGATTTAAATTTTTGCTAACTGTAAATTCATAACATGTATTTTATACATAACAGATTATTTTTCATTGTATTTTCTGTCCCATTGTCATCAAAAGAAGCCTGGTTAATAAGTATTACAACAATCAGTTGAATCTTTCGATGCGCTATCTGTTTTGTTCCGAGTGTCAAGAGATATAACTGTTTCAGCATTCGGAACCCCCTCTGAGTCGCTAGCCCTCTCTTTGCCGGACAGACGTCTGACACAGGTCACGAGTACAGAGTAATTCTCCCTCCGGAAGATGAGGTACAGCCAGGGGTCCACTATAGAGTTAGTTATACTCAGTCTGGTCAGCAAAAGCTCTGTCTTACCCGCGGTTTCCGTGAGAGCGAACGAGGCATGTTCCAGAATATTGACCTGATCAGTAAATAATAATTATATATACAGCTATGTAAATGGACCTTAAAAACATAAACATTTTAACATATGAGCAGGCCTGTTCAACCATAATAACTATATATACAGATTACAATAAGACTCGACAAAAAAAAAACAAAAAAAAAAAAACAAACAAACAAAAAACAAATCTCTGTTTTGATATTTGAAACAGAATTTAGAAAGAAGAGAAACGTTATATTTCCTATAAAAATCACAGTATTCTCATCGTTAATCATTTGTACCCGTATACTGTATATGATTTCCCCCCTCTCTCTCTCTCTCACTTTTTAAAATTCCAGCGCTCTAGTCATAAGAACAGAAAACTTATAATCAGATAGACAAACTAACAACTCTCAAAATGTCATGTGTCGCCATTACAACCATCTTACCATCAAAGGAAACCAACATGAAGTAAACAGAACCACCACTGTCATCAGAAAAATAATGACATGCACATCCTTCCATCCGCTCCACGTGGACTCGTTCTTGTATCTTTTGTAGATAAAGAAGACAATGACTGCGATATTGAAGGTCCAGGTAGCCAGGACAATTATGATACCGATAGCAGCGTAAATAATGGAGTTAATTCTGTTGCCTTCTATGGATGTTTCAATAAAATTCAGAAAACACCATGTGCCGGGATAGAATTTACGACTGGAACCAAGGCCGAAAAAAGGTAAACTGCTGATAAGAGCAGAAGTTACCCAAATCACTAAAACAACTATGTTTGTTCGGATTTTTTTGTGTGGTTTGTTGTAGTGAAATGGATAATATGTGGCAAAGAATCTGTCGAATGACATGCCGCAAACTATCATGGCGGACGACATCAGAGTAAACATGTACCAAAACATCTGAAAGTTACACAGAACTGGAGACAACTCTCTCTGTAGCTCGGAGGCGTACATGGAGAGAGACACGGGAACCGATATAAGTAGTCCTCCTCCATCCGTGATCGCAAGTCCACAGACGTATCTGTAAAATGGCTTCCATTTGTGAGTTTTGGCAGTCACAAGTAATACTACCAGGGCAACAACATTTCCTCCGACTCCGAAGACAAAAACCAGATAGGCTGGAATAGCGTTGGTTACGAGAGATTCATTTGTCCCTGCTGTAACCGTATTTAAACTTTCTGTCATTATTTGAGAAGAAGCCTCCATGGTAGACATACTAAACATATTGTTATCCATGATTGGTATTAAAATAATTTTTCAATGCTTGACACATTAAACATTTTTTTAATTTATTCACGGTGCTTGACACAGTGAACACAGGTTCGTACTGAGCCTATACAGACTACTTATTTCTATTTATTTATAAAACAATATATAAAACTATACCTTATGATCTCTCCCTTTCCGTTTCTTTCAAGGGTAAATTTTAAAAGTAAACAGGTCGTGAAAACAATCATGCAATGTAGATAAATCTTACTACTGAAATACACGTCTACAGTTATTTACATCAAACTGACCTGTTTAAACGGGGTAAGCAGATCTAATGCATAGTATATTTACAAGATATATGAAGACTAAAAAACGACACAATAGTAGGCAGAATTTGCAATTTAGTTCTTAATAACGACCATAAAATTTGCAAAATACTCACTTAAACGAGGAAGCTGAGAACCATGCATTAAAATGCTTTTCAGTGATCTGCTTATGTTAAGAATAATCATACTCAGAATATACATATACTCTTGCGTATTGAATAAACATGGAGACATCAACATCATACACAGTTCATTGGGTAATATTACAAAATAAATTTGGAAAACTGACGATGGAAATGCTGGTCATCTTTTTTTCCTTGTTTAGATGAAAGTTGGAAATTAACATGCAATGTCAGTAGATTTCCTAAGCATTAAGCCGAACTACCAGGCATTGGTAAAAAAAAAAATCGAATTCAGAGGGGTACGAGGGCTGCTTGGAAAGTATTGGGACATTCTGTATAGTTGTCTAATTATCCTATAAGTTAGAATCTCTTTTAATCATTCTTTATAAAATGCTGACAAATTTTCATGAATATGTATCTCTCTTTTATAGAGTAAATATAAACGTCTAAATAATATCCAAAAAAAAAAACGCTCGTATATCGACTTGACAAATACTATTATTGTGTAAATGAAATATATGGAGATAAAGAATAGTATTCAGGCTCATAAAACAAAACACAATGGGAGGAGAGCAAACATGGACCTTCAAAAAATCAGAGGTTGGATCAAGTGTCATGGAGAAATGAGCATCCCCTGTCGACCGGTCACACCCGAAGTGTGCTCCTTAGCATGATCGAATAATAACAAAAAATCGGTCGACAATTCAGTGTGTAAATAATGGACTTACAATTTGTGTGAAAAAGTCGGTCATCATTTGACTCATTGATAAATTATGTTTGCTGACAATGTCATTGTATCGATCATAGAACTTAAGAAATCAACTTTAAACGAGACTGCTGATATTCTTGTTTCACCAACGTGTTTGTCAATATTTAACCTCGTTTGAGAAATCGTACATACCTAGGGAACGCTCTCGCGTATCGAATCAAATGAGAGATATAAACTCCGTATGCAGGTGATGAAAGGATATTGCTGCATAACTAAGGGAAGTTTACGATTGAAAAGTTAAAGCCATCATGTTTATCATAGAGCTTGGTTGTTAGGTTGCTATTGACGTCTTTTCAAGTAAAATATCCAATAATGAAATATGAAACAGGTGAGTCAGACTCTGGTATCTTTTATCTCAAGCACACCGGGATATATCGTAACGACATAAGAATTTAAATTACCATTGTTATTGACAATACGTCGATCATCGAGATATCGAAATGTTGATCAAGTTGAAGGCAACAAGTGTTTCCTTCTTTTCACGAGATTTCGGACAAATTCTTCTTCACATGAATACAAAAGATGGTTTTCTAATAACAGGGAACAATTAGTTCCCATGGGAATTCCAATAGATTGTTGGAGGACCTGGTTTCCAAAAACCACATAGATAATGCAAATCAGAAATTCAAGCATCTTTTTATGTCATTCCAGAGTACTTAAGTTATGTATACAATCAAAATGTTTTTAACAAAATAAATTTGCAAATGACCAGTGACAAGCTTAAGATAAGTAAATTTACGAGTTCCATTTTTATGGAAAAAGCAGCTGTCAATGATGTCTAAAAGCCTGGACTTCAGTTTATAGTGGGGAATAATTGTATATAAAGTAGAAAAGTCGTATGTTTTAAGCTGTTGATTTGGTAAAATCTTGTGATATCTAATAGCACAAAAGTTCCCTTGAATTTTTAAGTATCCACACCTTATTTACACCATTTCTCGAATATATACATTTTTTGTTGTACAGTACTCTTGAAGATTCTCTTTCGCTACGGCTTGATTGAACAATTATTTACCATTTACTTGAAATTACTCTGTATCTTTGTTTGTAAGGATTTTTAAGTTTCGGAATCCAATGCTAGTTCAAATTCATTTTGGTTGTTTTGGATATCAAAAATATTCAAAACTAACATATGATTTTAAACATTTTCTTCCTAAGAAAGAGAACTATGCGTATTCGTTGGATTACCAATTTGTAGAAGTAAATCGAAGTTCTTCTAAAACAATTTATGTAACGAGCCTTACAAACGAAGACAATGTTGTTACCTGCTTTCTCAGAAGGGACCTGTACGTATCGATCATAAAAACAACCCATTTAACAGAAATAGTCAAAATCTTGACAATAGTATCGGCGGATAAAGTCTGAATTTAATGATATTTTAAAAAATTAATAATCATATTGTTAAAAAATTCAACTATATTTCTAACTGAAGTTGGCGATCTTTTATATCAAATTGCTTAACAAAGGACACACCTCTTCTCCAGCTTGGACAACGGAACAAACATCATATTTAAACACCTCCCTTCCTTCACTAAAACATAAGAGGCATTGTCTTGGTATTTACTGCCAAGAAGTGATATGACCTATTCGAATAGGTAATATCAATTAATCAAACTGAGTAGGTGATATCACCTATTCGAACAGTTCATATCGCCTATTCGATTCACGTTTTCGAATTTGTGATTTCGCGTATCAGAAATGAATAGGTGATATCACCTATTCGTGCTGAAGAGGTGATATCACCTATTCGAATAAATGATATCACCTATTCGAATAGGTCATATCACCTATTTAATTTGAAATGGTGATATCACCAATTCGAATAGGTCATATCACCTTTTAATATTTCTTACAAGAAATAATGCTCCCTAGACTATCTAGATTTCCACTGAAACCAAGAAAGTTCCGACTGCCCAGTTGTCACCAAAACTTTTTAAATACCTTATGTTATGGATCCCTCTTGAGTTATATAATTTTTAAAAACCCCAGCTGTGGTACAATAGAGTGGCATGCCTTTCACTCTTTCAAGTTCTACTGGGGTGCTTAAAACTAAATACGAAGCTTTAATTCATTGTTTCTAAGAACGATCGATGAGTTATAAAACTAAAGTGAAAGTAAATGAGATTTAAGGAGCTTAAGCTTTGGGAGATGTGGTTATTTCCTGAATAATTTGAATAATTGATATCACCTATTCATATAAATGATACCATCTATTCAAATAAGTGATATGAACTATTCAAAATGCTAAGATATTATGACCTATTTGAATAAGTGATATCACCTATTTAATTTGAATATGTGATATCACGTATTCGAATAAGTGAATTCACCTATTCAAAAGGAATCACCTATTCGAATTTATAAGTGATATCACCTATTCGAAAAAGTGATATCACCTTTTCGAATAGATGATCAAATCAAATAGGTGATATCACCTTTTCAAAATCTGAATAGGTGATACCATTTATTCGAATAAGTTATCACCAATTGAACAGGTGATATCACTTTTTGGCAGAGCGGCGCCTCATACAACAATCAATTATTGACTAAACTTCTGGAAAGTTTTTAGTCTCTATAATCCATGTACAAATCATCATATACTACTGCAAAGGAATTAACTTTACGGCCTCTCATTTCTCAAGTACGACTAACCACTTTATGTCACAATTGATCCACATATTGCATATTGACGTCATTTTCACATTGTGACCTCACAAACATGGAGCAAAATGTTTCACATATGCTATTTATAGAACATGTGTATGAATGTGTGTGCCAAATGTCATTCTGATCTGAATTGCAGATTTGTAAATACCGGGGTATATAGCTCGCAGACGTTTTGATCACCCTTCGTATCCTTAAAAGTTTACAGAAAGACAATCATATTATTTACCGTGTGCTTTTCTCCTCATCGTATAAATGTATAAATAAAGTCAATACGACGTATTGTCAATTAACAATTTTAATTTCCATTCTTATGTCGATACGATGTATCCTGGTGAGCTTGAGATAAAAGATACTACAGAGTCTGACACATCTGTTTCATATTTGAATATTTTACTTGAAAAAGACGTTAATGCTAATCTAACAACCAAATTCTATTATAAACGTGATGAATTTAACTTTCCTAAGGTCAACCTCCCTTACTAATGCAGCAACATATTTTCATCCCCTGCATACGGAGTTTACGTATATCAGTTGATTCAATACGCAAGAGCATGCTCTATGTATGAACAATTTCTAAATCGAGGTAAATTTGTGACAAACAAATCGATGAAACAAGAATATCAGCAGTCTCATTTAATGTCATAATTTCGCAAGTTCTATGGTCGATACAATGACCTTGTCAGCGAATACAATTTATCATTGTGTCAAATGCTGACTGACGTTTTTCATGATAATTGTTAGTCCATTATTTATACACTTCATTGCCGACGGATTTTTCCGTTATTCCCGAACATGACAAGGAGTACACGACGGATGTGACTGGTCGGCAGGGGATATTCACTCCTCCATGGCACCTGACCCCACCTCTGATGTTTTGGAGGTCCTTGTTTGCTCTGCTCCTATTTTGTATTGTTTTATGAACTTTTGATCTTGAATACTGTTCGTTATCTCCATAGGTTTCATCCATTGTATGCGATTTTTTTTATTTCATGTATTGATTGTGAAAAAGTTAATTTCTAGATGTTATCTCTGATCAGGAAATGAGTAGTATCCTATTCTCTTTAACTCTTTGATTTAATTTACTGCAAATTGAACAGAACAGTAAACTGCAATTAAGGACGTTCGATCCTGAGATTTTGAGCATATTTTGGTCAGGTCCTTTATTTATAAAATTCTGCATTATTTTTAAGTTCTAACATTAAATCTGAATTCTACAGTGCAAGTTTAACTAGATCCAATGAAAAAACCGCGATTAAATTGCATTCAAATAGAATTAAGCTAGGGACTATATTTTGTGGCGGAAGGTTTTTTAGACGAAAATGATCAGTTTTTCCATTTTGAACTATAACAGTACTGTTAAATTTGGATTCCTATTTTTCCATCCTGGTTGCACACAAAGCTGTTTTTTGCAGTGAAATGTGTTATGCTGGTTCTGAAATATCTATTAAATTATTTCTTATGAACTCTATCAACAAAGTGTGACAAATATAGTCAATATATTCTGAAAATCCGGGAAAAAATTGAGCCAATTTTAACGTAAAATTGACACTTTTTTAGCAATATCTGAAGATTTTCATCATATACCCCCACTTTTGATATTCTTTTCTAAATATTCAAGATAAATTTGACCTGTTTGCTTAAAATCAGAAAAAGTTTAAGACTTTAAAATAAATTTCTTGCGTATTAAATTTTCAATGCCAGAAAAATCACTTTTTATTAGTGCAGAAAGGTCAAATAATTGATTATGCGAAGCAATTTGAAACTTTTTCTTAGTCACAATTTTTAAGTGTCTTTTTTTAAAACAAACTTAGAGTTCATTTTGTTCATGCTCTAACTGGATAAAATATTGGAGGGAAAACGTCAAAAATTTAATTTTTAATTAAGACACAAATTTCAGTGCAAGAAGGTCATATTAAATGTACTGTAGCGCCAAAAGAAGCGTATTGACCCCTATTTTTTGATTTGAAATTTAATTAAGCTATGTATGTAGAAACTAAAAATATACTTGGCAAAAAAAGTTTAAGACTTTAAATATCAGGATCGAACGTCGTTAAGCAGAGGATTGAATTTTGTATACAAGTGTACCATAGGTATATTGAATTATAAAAAAAATGAAAAAATGCTATAAAGTGGGGGGAAAATCATAAATCGCACAGAATGGAAATCTACAGTATTTTTTTACTTGCACTTTGTAAAATTGTTTCTTATATGTTAATAAATGTTAAATGAGTGAAATGAATACATGAAATAATACACAGACTGAGAAATCTAACACAGCTGCCATTCTTTTTTTGGAACACTTCCGTTAATTTTATATGATTATAGAGGTCACTGTTCCTGCCCTAGAGGATTGGCTTAAACACTTCCCACAGTCCCTCTCTCTGTTCGGCTACAAACTGCCGTCTCTGTGTATTGTTTTCCTGTCTCTCTAGTCGTTTTACAGACTTTTGTGGTGCAGTTTACGTATATGTGTTCCACCAAAACCGCCATTTCCCGCCGAAATAGAATATAAATCCAGGGGTCAATGACGGAGTTTGTGAGACTAAGGCGAATCAAGAGGAGTTCCGTCTCACCCTCTCCACTAATGACGTCAGAAGCGTGCTGAAGCATGTTTACCTGCAGAGGGGAAAAAAATCAAATTATCCCAAAACAAATTGAAATGGCTGTGAATGTCTAACCCATGATGGAAAAATATATTTATAACAAATATTTTTTGCTGTTGATTTTGTGAAATGTTTGAAAGAAGAGATTTTTATCAGGTTTCTACGAAAGCCCAATAAGGAACTATCAAAAATATTTTTGAATTCGAAATAACGACCTCAAAGAAGTTGTTATAACAAATTTAATTCGTTATAATTCTTTATAACGATTTTGATAATTTATAACAAATTTGTTGAATTTGTTCAAACAATGTTTCCAATTTTTTAAAATAATGAATTAAATTCGCATAATCTATTACAACAATCAGGACCAATAGAACTGAAACTAGAGGTGCTGTGAGCAATGAGCTCACTAAATTATATCCCCCGTCTCTCATATGATTATAATGGAAGAAGTCCATGTTTTGCTGTGGCCGGAAAACCCAAAATTTGTGTCGGATTAAAAAATAAAATAGGAGGTGCACAATGGCAATATGTAATAAAGTTTCTGTGAAAGTTTCATTAAATTTCACTCAGTGATTTAAGAGGAGTTGCGGATAAGAGATGGGTACCCCAAAGCGTAACAGACAGACGGACGTACAGACGGACGGACGGACATACCGATTACTATATACCCTCCCACTTTTCAAGCGGGGCGTATAATAAATATGTCGAATTTGTTTTACCGAATTTAATTCATTATAATAAATTAAAGATTTTGTTTATATTAATACTTTTTAGCATATTTTATTATACCCCCTGCTTGAAAAGTGGGAGGGTATATAGGAATTGGGATTTCCGTCCGTCCGTCTGTACATCCGTCCGTCCGTCTGTTACGCTTTATCTCTTATCCGAAACTCTTCTTATACTACTGTGTGAATTTAATGAAACTTTCACAGAATCTTTATTACATATTGTCATTGTGCACCTCCTATTTTACTTTTTTATTCGACACGTATTTTAGGTTTCCCATAGCAAAACATGGACATTGCCATTATATGTTTACCTATGACGTCACATATAGAAGCTTCTGGATAATATTTGATAGGACGAGTTATTCCTCTTTACACATTACCGTAAAACAATATATAGCAACACATGGACATTATGGGAGGCGGGGGTATCATTTAGTGAGCTCAATGCTCACAGTACATTTTTATAAAAACGAGTTTAATTGGTATTAAAATTTGTTTGAATTTTTAGTTATAACGAATTTAACAGATTAAATTCATTATAACGAGTTCAAAGAAGCTGTTGGAACAAATTTAAATTGTTTAAAATTATTAGGCAATTCGTTATATCGAATAAAAAAAAATATTTTCATAGATCCTAAATGGGCTTTCAATAAAAAACCCCGCATCTTCGAAAACTCTGTAATGTTGTCCTCTATAAACTTTAAAATCTTCATGTGTTATGAAGTACAATAAAAAGAGTCCTTCTTTACATCAAATTTAATATTAATTCGAAAATTTTTAAAAAAGACATTTAACATCTGAAAGAATATTTTAGAACAGTCCATTTTTATGAAAGATATATGAAGGAATACCATAAGAGGGAACCAACAGGAAGTCAGAACGGTCACTATGGTGAGGAGGAATATTATCACGTGAAACTCTCGCCAGCCTTGATAAGAACGTGTTGGAGACTGTCTTCGAAATCGTTTAAAAACAAAATATGCGATTACAGCAAAGTTCAAAAGAATTGTCATTATCACGACTAGAACACCAACAACAGCATAAATGTACGCATACACCTCATTCTTAGTGATATCTGTATCAATGAAATTCAAAAAGCACCATGATCCAGGATAGAATATCTTGGCGGATCCTAACCCGAAAACATGTAAACTGCAAAGTATGGCTGATGTTATCCACAATAAGGCCAATGTAATGTTGGCCCTTCGTCCTTTGGCCGGGGTATTGTATAGGATAGGAAAGTATGTGGCGGCAAATCTGTCAGCAGACATGCAGCAGACAATCATGGCGGAGGACATCAAGGTGAACATGTAAATAAAGGCGAGGTAGTCACAGACTGGCGTAGATAACGTATCCTTGAATCGAGAGAGATACTGATACTCCGAAATCGGAATAGAGATCAGAATCCCTCCACCATCGGTTACTGCTAAACCACAAACAAATCTGTAGAAAGGTCGCCATTCGTGACATTTGGATCTGGAACAGAGAGTAAGAAGCGCTGCCAGATTTCCAAAAACTCCGAATATAAACAACAAAATTACGGGGACCGAATCCTGGATACTCGGGATCTCTGTGCTTCCGGGGTTCTCGGTTGTGGTTTGATTTGGAGAAACTGGAAGCATCGTTTTTTTAAAAGCACCGAGGCCTTTATCTACTTCAATAAACTAGACGAAATAATAAGATGTCAAAAATTCTTAGCTACCACAAACATTTTATCTGAAACTAAAGTATTCCAAGTCGTGATGACCATTTGAGTATCTTTAGAGTATTTAGTGTATTTAGAGATTATGTTTTGATTTATTGTGGTCAATCCCTGCTCGGTTTATTGACATAGAAGTTTTATATCAACAAACCTGAGCGACCTCACCTCCTCGCTACCTTGGATGTCTTTATAATTACTACCAGGAAGTAAATCACAGGACAAAACAGAAAAACCAAAATTATAAACACGTAGTACTTTAATCTTTAAACAATATTTATTGCCATCATTAAATGAAGAGCCTTTTTATGGACAGTAATGGTGAATTCGAATAAATTATCTAACACATTTCCAATAAAGGGGGAATCACCAAATTACCGCGTACTTTTATACCTTATATCTGCATTATTTGTATTAACGACAAGACCACTTTTGAAAAGTTGATTGGGTATTTTTAAGTCGTCTAACTAATCAAAGAATATCGAAGTCCAAATATTTTAAAGTTAACTCTTAGAAGATTTTCAGTATATGTTATTTTAATATTTACCAATGTTTTGGAACTTATGACATCAGCTTCTAAAGATGACAAAGCATTTGATATACCTTCCTTTCTCTTTTGTATATTATATTTACGGAAGGCTTGGAGAGGATGCTGTAACTTGATCGATAATGCAGTTTTTGAGATCTCTATTAATCAAAAGCAAAAGGGTAAAAAAAAATCAATACACGATTAATTAAACTTGTAAGCTCACAATCATGCCTTTGTGACATAATGATAAAGGTAGATATTGAAATCTTCCATTCTGGGAATTGTGACAGGTAAAGATATTGATTATTTCCAGTTAACGAAGTCACCAAGCAACTGGTCGCTATCGTCTGCCTCTGAACTCCTCATCAGGATTCAAAACGCTACAAAATGAAGGAGATTTTCACTCAGGTAAAACATACGATTTTCTTTATTTCGACTTTGTGTAATTTTAGTAGCTTTTAAAGTCATATTTGAAAAAACTAAATACATGTATTCTTGATTTAACGCTTATCGTTTTTGCTGTGAATATATTGATTTTGTCACTGTCGATGGTTTCCAATTCTTTCATAAACTGGAAGTCACTCAATTATGTTGTATTTCTCATTCTAACTTATTTCAACCAGAAGCAAATGAATTTATTAAGTCAGCTTTCATGAACAGGTTTATAACAAACTTCTTTGCCCTTTTTGATAATACTTGGTTAAGTGGTAAATAATAATCAATTGAATAAAAACAACGATACCAAGAACTGATATTATACACTGATATTGGTTATTACAAACGAGGTAAATGATCTGAGATAATAGCTAGTTCAGTAAGAAATGTGTGATACCATGCATCCTAAAGCTAAAGACCCTTCAAAAGGTTGTTGATTTCACAGGATGAACTTGAGGAACTGTTACGGAAAGCTGGACAGAAGCTGGTCATTATCGACTTCTGGGCCACGTGGTGCGGACCATGCAAAGTGATAGGACCCATGTTTAAAGTAATACTATCCATTAAAAAATAGTTCAACTAAATATTTTTTCAAAACAAAAACGTTTGAGCAAAAATACCTCGGTTAACAATGAATATCAGGCTAAAAAAATGTGAATAAGATAAGAATTGCTTTCTTATTTGTCAGAAACTGGCCCACGACCCTGAGTACGAAAAGGACGTCATATTTGCCTCTGTGGATGTCGATGAAGCTAATGTAAGTATGGACCTGAGCATTTCCATATCGATTCTGATTTTACTTGTGAAACAAATAGGGGAAGGGAGACGATGATGCGATCGCTATTCCCCAATTTAAAAAAAATCCCCGAAGTCTCTATTTTTGAATTGCCAAGTACATTTTTACATGAAATTGGGATATCCCAAATCCAAAAACTGAATGTCACGTGTCAAGCCATACACGCCTTATAGTATTTAGTTGTTTAATTCACATCAAACAAGGTCAAGTACCTCTCCTTCTTTTGTGCCTTCTCCGATTTTAATTCAACGAATGTTTTCTTTGAAACATGTGTAAGATTCGCTCCTTTGACAGAAATAGTGCCCAATAAATTCCAAAAAATTGTAGGAATAGTAAATTTCCAAAATCTACACACACAGATATTGTTAAAGTCAAGTACATTTTGCATTGATAGGGTACCTATTTATTTATAATTTGTTATTATCAGGAATTTTGAGATTGGTAATAGTTGTTTTTTTTTTGAATTTCCAAATGTACTACTTGTGCCCTTTTATAAGCCGTTCTTTCAATTTATTTATATACATTAAACAGAATTTATTCAAAACTTCTAGACGAAAGAAGTCTCTTGTCGTTATCTTCAACTCGGCATTTAAATATCCTTATAGTTTTTACCAATTAGCATTATTCATTTTGAAACAACATATTGATTTATTGATTCATGGATTCGATATATTCATTTGAAATCGAAATAAAAGGCAAAACAGAGTTTGGTCAAATATGGAGATACCGAACAAAACTTAGGCCATTTCAACAATACAAATCATCACAATCCAGGGTTTTAACAATGATCTAACAATTTGAATGAAAAACTTCCTCTGTTTCATAACTGGATGTTTACTTGGAAAAGAAGTCATTAGCAAAATATAAACAAAACTTAATGATATGATGACTTCAACTTCCCTAATATATGAACTGTAGCAAAACACAACTATCAACATCATGGAGAATAATGTCTCTCGGTTAATTAGATATACAAGAATTTTCTACGTAAGAATTTGTAAAAGAGGAAAACTTTTATTAAAAAAATGATACAATATTATTAATAGTCTCGTTTAATGTCAATATTTGCAATTTCTATTATTGATACTATGACTATGACATTGTCAACAAATTCAATATATAGTGAATAATACATACCTTTTTCCATATCACATCCTATATCAGCCCAAGACACCAATATATGCCAGAGGAACTTTTAAGCTTGAAAGCTGTTCTTATCTTCATATTTCAATTCGTTGTCTATTTTATCTTATTGTGTAAACAGTTTGATTTTCCGATCTCATGATCAGATTTTGCGGTTATAAATTCTATATATTATCTAGAAGTTCTTTTGTTCTTTAATAGGAACTTGCTGAGGAAATAGGAATAGAGTGTATGCCGACCATTATGTTCTTTAAGGACGGAGAAAAGGTAAAACTAAGGTCCAATAAAACAGAGGTTGACTGGTAAATTTGATAGAAACTGTAATTAGCACACATTATGTACATACAGTGTAAGCAAAAGAATATCTCATGAATCAACGCCAATTGTAACTTCTAATGAGCGGAGGTAAATTGAAACTATAATACGACCTTAACACATTTAAAGTATTCATATCAATGTATAAAGCGATCAATGCAGCCTGATGTACTGTTAATTATATAATTGTATGTATTTCTTTAGGTCGATGAAATGTCAGGCGCTAACAAAGCCAAACTAGTGGAAAAGATCGAGGAGCTCCGGAAGAAATGAGGAAGTGCCGAATGATAGAGAAATTAGGGAACCCCCACCCTGTGTTTGTGAGACAGTATGACGTTAGATAAAAATTCCTTTATGTCAGTCCGGTTGTGAGTAATTAATGATTACCTTGTGTGAGGACAGGGCGAATGACCCCCATTAAACATCCTTCCCCTCAAGATGTCCTGTATTGTAAAACTGTTGTACAAGTTACTGATGAAAATATAGAAAATAATTTGTTATTATGAAGTTTAAATGATTGTACTTTAGACAAAAACAACATTTCTAAATTGGTTTGAACATATTTTATTGTATATTCTAATTGAAAAGGGATTGGGCACAAGTTCTAAAAATTTATAACGCCCTCTCCCTAAATTAAAGGAGTTATATATAAAAGTTTAAAAGATGAGAAGATTATAACGAAGTACATGACTTAGTAAAGAAATAGTGCTACTGAGCTATTATATTTGGCAGTTACATGAATTCCTTAATCTTGCAGTGTTAATCAATAAGATTTTAAACTATACAAAGGCTCAGGACTATTAAATAGGTTTTGTTTGCTTTTGACGTTTTAAACAGCAAACATTGCATCTGTAAATGAAATAAAATACAAATTAGAATAAAACTGTTGAAAAGATATGTGAAAAAGACAAGGCTTTCTTCATTGTTGATAAAAAAGAACTGCATTTAAAAAATTTCCAATAAATACTGGAGTTATAGCTTCCAGGGTGTGAAATAAATTGAAAAGACTGAATAAGTTTACATTTCTGGTTGTCCCATCTAGAGCCTATCAGATAAATGTGACCTATTTTACCCGCCTTCTCTACACGTGAAGAATGTCTGCCGGTTTGTCTTGGATTAAGACCATATGATGATAACACAATGAAAACATATAATACAGTATGTATGTTTATTGAAAAAGAACTTAAACAAATTTTTTTTTACAATATGTAATGCATATTAGATTACTACTCACAGTTCCCAGTATCAAAACCAATTTATCAGACATCGAAAATGGAATAAAATCTAAAAAAAAAATATTGGTACTTCATACAAAATCGTAAAGTATTACTAGATAATTTTTTTAGTAATAAGAATATCTTGGTACTTTTTTTAAATGTCTGAAAATTAATCGTAAATATTTTTGAAATGAGATTTTAAGCAGATAATATTCTCCTTGAATAATTTGAAGTTTGATTTAAGATTTTTTTTTCCTCCTAACATATTTCTGACACTTTGCTCGTCTCTGGATTCGACTGTTTTTTTTTTTTTTGATAAACACAGAGGGCACACGGTGAAAAAGAGTCCGACAGAGAGTGCATGTATTTACTCCTGTATGGCACCTGATCCAGTCTATGAAGTTTCCGCATTTTAACTTTTTAGGGCCTTATTCTCAAAACTGTATTTCAATAAAGGATGTAATTGAGATTGACCTCTTTCTAGTATTTTCATTTTCTTATGGTCTAGAGATGTTCATTATGTATATATGTTTCTATGCGATATTGAAGAATTTTTTCGAACTTTGCAATTGTCTTTGTTGTTAATTTTTTTGTACAAAAATATGCTTGTTTCGACAGATATGCTCCTGTTTGAAAAGAAAACGTAAAAGGTGCTCACAAGACACAGATTTAACAATTATACGTGCTTGACTAAAGAAAACTTTGGCTGTAAATCCTAAATTGATTCAACTTGAATAAGTTTGAGTAGAAATTTTTTTTAAACATAATATTTTGAGTAGACATAACAGCATAATTTATTAAAAACACCACTTTTATATATAATTTGATACTTTCATAACAATCAGATAAATATAGTCTAAAGATATCAAATATTGTACAAACTATTCATGGCTGATTTTCATATTCTGACCAAAGTAAAGAAGATTGTCTATGCAATGTACATACTAGTAATCATAACAAAGGAAACAAAAAATAAAGTTTGCCCAAGAATAAAAAATGGATACATAAAAAATAATTGTCTATTATCAACCCAGTTTTTCATTTTCAAATATGACGCCTTGCATTCAAAGTACTTCTAGCTTACTAAAGAATTGTTATTTTTGATGCCACTTTTGGTACGTCACTCTTGTTGTGTGATTCCTTCTTACGATTCAAAATCTTATTAAAACAATTCATTACCATACCACATGCTTCTTTTCGGAACAGGATGTAGATCCATGGGTCTATGACAGAGTTAGTCACGCCCATGCGCAGAACAATCAACTCTGTTCTACCTTGTCCGACAATAGAGAAAGTAGCATGCTGGAATATGTTGACCTGTTAAACAAATTATGAGTGTAAATACAGTACATAACAGTGTCCTTTATTGACACATAACGTGAAGAGTACACGAAAGTTCGTGTTTTAAGTTTAAGTTATTTCAAACTTATTTGTAGATGTAATTTACTGAATTTAAATATCTTGCATGGATAATAATATTTTGATTTCTATAAAGCGACAATTGCACGGTGATAAACATTGAAGATGCATAGGGCATATCCATAGGAGTTATCTTTACTTTTATATAGTTTTTAATTCTCTGACATAGATCTCGAATTCGACATTTTAATATATCGTGGACATCATTTGACAGTTATTTTACTTTATATATGTCGACATGATAAATTTCAGTTAGCTTGAAATTAAAGATACCACAAATTCTGCCCGTATGTTTCATTTTTGGATATTGTACGAGAAAAAGTTATCTAAGAACAAAGCTTTAGAATAAAAGGGAGGACTAACGTTCCAATCCTCAACTTCCCTTTTGTTACTTTGAGGCGATAATAAACCTCAATAACCTGCCCAAGGGATTTTATTTTCTCATGTGGTTGATTCAAGAGCATGCTCTGCGAATGAACAATTTCTAAAACGAGGTAAATTATTAACAAACAAATTGATGAAACGAGATATCAATAGTCTCGTTCAAAGTCATTATTACGTAAGGCCTGTGGTCGATGCAATGAATTTGTTAGCAGCTACTTATTACGACCATTCAGCAGGGGATGCTTACTCCTCCATGGCACCTGATCCTACTGCTGGAGTTTCTGAGGTAAGTGTTTTCTCTGCTCCCGATTTGTATAGTTTAAATGGACTTTTGAGCTTAAATACTTTTCGTTTTCTAGTTTATTCTTATTTTTAAAATTATTAACCTATGTGCTCCAACCTCTCCCCGTTCTTATAAAAGACAAGTTTTAATTTTGCCTTTTTATAAAATATAGTGTCAGGTATTAAAAATTCACCTTAAGCTTATCGTAAGTGAAAAAACTGCTTCATGATAAAATAACTTAAAAGCAGTTATTCTTTTAAATTAAAAATACTGATGGGAGATTCCCCTTCGGTCATTTACAAAATCTAAAGGTAGAAATTCAACATTTTTTCTTCTATTCTATGATGATTTAAGATTTTGTGGTGTTATTTTACTGCAATTTTACACGTATCGATTTCAAATTATAAAGGGAAAAAGTTAATTAAAAAGGACGAACCACTTTGAAGTAACCTTTTAAAAGAAAATACTATTTTTGTAAAGCTAGCTTAAAAATTTTAGCCAATGCAAAAGGTTAAAGCATATTCATAAGAAATATAATATTGTAAAGGTGTAAAGCTTACCACAAGAGGCGCCCAACAGGAAGTAAAGACTGTCACAATCATCAACAGAAAGAGAACAACCGAAAGTTCGTTCCTGTTGGTCTTGTTTACTGTCTTACTAAATTTATTTTTTAAGAAGAACACAATAACCAACACGTTTATAAGCATAGTCAAGATGAGGACCACCGCCCCAGTTGCGGCATAGATGTAGGAATAAATCACTTTTGCTTTAGATGACATGTCAATAAAATCCAGAAAACACCAGGAACCCGGATAATAGTTCTTACTGGCGCCTAATCCGTACAGATGTAAGGAGCTGATGACCCCTGATAAAGTCCAGGCACAGGCTAGCATAACCAAAGCTCGACGCTCCTTTGTTGGCGTGTTGTAAAGAAAGGGAAAGAATATGGCAAAGAAGCGGTCAAACGACATACAACAGACGATCATTGCAGACGACATTAGAGTAAACATGAAAACAAAGCCCAGATAATCACAGAGGGGTTTTGGAAAAGTGTACTCGAAATTTGAAATATAGCGGTACTCGGCGAACGGATATGACGCTAGTATTCCTCCGCCATCAGAAATAGCTAGTCCGCACACAAGTCTGTAGAACGGGCGCCATTTGTGATCCTTTGCAGAATAGCACAAAACAAATAGAGCTATGGCGTTTCCAACAACTCCAAAAAAGAACAGAAGAGTAACAGGTGCGATGTGTTCGTACACACGAGTTGTTGTGGTTAGATTCTGTGTGCTTGGGGAACCGACCATTGAGACGGTTGTTACATTAGAGTTTGAAATAATGTCCGAGTTGATGTCATTATTCGTTGTCATTGTTGAAATTCCTAGGCATTGTCGTAAATCCTGAGCATTGTCGTAATTGCTGCACTTTCTCTCTACAGAGATATCTTCGGTGTCATTGTTATTTTATCAGTGTCAAAACAAAAACGTCTATCCGACAGTAATTATATTGATACTTTATATACTGATTTACTGACTTTGTCTGAGAAATGAGCGATTAGATTTCAGCTGTAATGGTATTAACAATTTTGATATCAACACGATTGAATTCTAACATTAATGTAATGATTTACTTACTTTAGCAAAAAGTACTTGAATTTGATGACATTATTCACTCTTTGTGATTAGATGGTAATGGTTCTGGCTTAGTTTTTCAATCATCCCTAATCCCACATTAACAAACTCTCAAAAGTATCTCGTTCAAAAGAGGTCAATTCAAGAATATTTTGAATGAAAAAGTAGGTCACAAAAACATTGTCATGTGTTTTTGTTGATATAAAAATAGGTACAAAGGTTATTAGGTAAAAAACACATTAAAAGGTACAGTGTATCTATAGGCATTGTAAAATATACATTCTTTACAGACCAGCAATCTTTTGTAATCTTTTATACTTGTTCGTACAATATATCAACTTAAACTACTGTAAACGTACTACATTTGGAGGTATATTCTATTTATCGATATTGTCGGAAAGTAGAATTCGCTAAATCAAGTACATCGTTAAGGTATGTCACTCGTGAAATCAAGGATTTTTTGAGAAGCGTATTTTGGATGAGTACTCATATAGTGTGACTCAAAATCGCAGAGGAAATAGGGGCTCAGTGTGCATCTTACTGAGCTACGATACGATTTAGTTGACCTTTTTTCACTTAAATTTTAACTCTTTGGTTAATTACTATAACCTTTATAATATTTTATCAGATGTAACGATGGCAAAAAATATAACCTTATTTTACGTAAAATAGTTTGAAATACTATTGAATAATATTTATCATTGAATAAATCATGCCAATTAATGCGCGTAAATTAATGTGCACCTTTTTGCACAAAAATGTAACATACATGCATTTGGAGTATTAGAAATATACATAGGCAATAAGATATTTTCTTGTATCAAACGTTATATGACTTAAGTGCTGATCAGTCAAAAGTACCGAGTAGTTTAAAATAACTAAAGAAAAAGTAAGGGTCAGTGATGTTAATTTTGAAATACATTAGTCAAAACATGTGATTTTCAGGCAAAAAAACGGTTTAAATTTTATCTTGACTTCTTTAACATATCTTCTTTTCTCAGCAAAGTTTGTTGGGGGTAAGGTGTAAAATTTGTTCTAAAAATATAAATTGAGACCTTTATGCAATATTCGTAGCATATCATAACGGAAAATATTTCACGAGTAATTTAAAAGTATGTGAGGCTAAAGTTCCAAGATATTAAATTTAATAAATGTGTAGATTTGCAGAATTTTCTGCTAAATATCCTTCCATCTTAAGAAATAGTCCCTCATAAATTTTGCTTCCTTGAGAATTTTTTGAGCAGTTTTTTCATTGAATGTTGAATAATTTACACTGTTGAATTCTAATATGTTATAAAAATTGAATTATAATAAATAGTTTTGAATTAAGAGGTTCTGCGTGAACTTTTCCGAAAAGCTGACGAGTGACATCCTTAAACATTTGCTCTGCTCCTATTTTGTAATGTTTAATAGACTTTTGAGCTCGAATACTGTTTGTTATCTTCATATTTTTTTCATTCACGTCTAAAAGTCCGTTAACACTTTACAAACGGGGAACATAGCAAACAAGGACCTCTAAAACATCAGAGGTGAGATCAACACCCACCACACAACACTGCATATTGATCATGTGGCCGGATTAAAAAAATATTGCAATTTTTTTACTACAACTTTCCGCTAGTGGTATGTAGTGGTTTAAAACTTATTTATCGTACTCAGAATATAATTTTCAGCATCGAATAATAGGGAGAGACAAACACCATACGAAGCGGAATATAGATACATAAAGTTGACGATGAAAAAAGGTAATCATCTTATTTGTCTTGCAGGTTAGTTGTTAGTTGACCCTTCTCATACATAGTCAGTAAAACATCCAAAATATGAAGTAAATGTGGCAAACTTTATTTTTCCCCCCATTTTTACACGTTTATTGGAATACATTTACATGTATATTGAGTTTAAAATGTTATGTCTGAATATCGAAAAGATCACATTTGGATTTTTCCCCACATGTATAAGCTTGGTTATTCTTGTAACAGATTGATTATTTTATAAAATTGTACTTATGAAAAGTTAATGGAATTAATTGATATTTTAATTTTTAATGATATGCTTTTTTGTCGACTTCATATTCAATGATTCTTATAGTTGCTTTCCTTGCAAGGGATAGTTAATTAAGAATATTCTATTTTTGACCTTCAATGGAATACACCGAATTGTTGATCATTAGTTTGCGTTCAGTAAATTTGTTTTCTTTTTCCAATTATTAGATGATTTTTTGATACAAAAAATGAGGACAGTTGCAATGTCTGGCATGAAAAAACAATCACATATAATACTTGTTTTATTCAGTAGTTACATCTTAACATTGAATGATTAATCATTTTCGGTGAATCATGCGATGTATTTTTGTTAAAAAATTACCATCAGGAAATAATTCTATTGTCTAAACCTTTTTGACCTCAATCTCTATTTGGAAATTTAATATATGATGCACTAATAGAAGCAGATTGTTTTTTGACATTTACCTCGGACGATTTCATCTGCACATGATCGGATTGCTAATTCTGAGATTGTTCTTGCCAAATTCAGGCAACTGTTGTTTTTGTTGTCTTTTGTGTAATACTGTTTTTGTTCTTTGTGTCCTTCTGTCTACCAAACACACGGTTTACTATGTTCATTAGCATGACAAACACTTCCTTCCGAAATAAAATGTAGATCCACGGGTCTATCACGGAGTTTGTCACACCCATCCTCAGAAAAATAAGTTCTGTTTTACCCTGTCCGGCGGTATAAAATGTAGCATGCTGGAATACGTTCACCTGTATAAATCAATATAATAATACTTCATATCAGCTTATTAATTAATACAACAACTAACTAAGTTTAAAATATGAAAAGAGGAACACGCTATTTTACTAGAAAAAAGAAGCTCAAAATGATAAACAGTTATCAACCTTATAATTGTTTCTATATCGTCTTTAAACAATTGAAAATCTCAAGAAATTAGTCATAGGATGCAATAGGAACATTACGATTTTTTTGTACGTGTAAAAGAAATTTCAATCAGAACTTTAACAGATGTGATAATACATTTCAGATACAGTTAACATTTTACTAGCACTGGCTAAGATTGTCAAAGGAAATTATTCTCACCATGAGCGGAGCCCAACAGGAAGTAAAGACTGTCACAATCATCAAAAGAAAGAGGAGAATCGGAAGGTCATTCCTGTTGCTCTTGGCAACAGCTTTCTTAAATTTATTTTTAATGAAGAAGACGATCACAAGAAAGTTAATTAGCACAGTCAAAATAACAACCACTGCCCCAGTTGTGGCATAGACGTAGGAGTAAATCACCTTTGCTTTTGACGACATGTCAATAAAATCCAGGAAACACCAAGAACCCGGATAATAGTTCTTACTGGCGCCTAATCCATACAAATGTAGTGAACTGATGATTCCGGAGAGTAGCCACACACATCCCAGCATAACCATAGCTCGACGCTCCTTTGTTGGCGTGTTGTAAAGAAAGGGAAAGAATATTGCAAAGAAGCGGTCAAACGACATGCAACAGACGATCATAGCTGACGACATTAATGTGAACATGAACACAAAGCCCAGGTAATCACACAGAGGTTTAGGAAACGTGTACTCGAAATTCGAAATATAGCGGTACTCCGCAAACGGATATGATGCTAGTATCCCTCCGCCATCAGATATAGCTAGTCCACACACAAGTCTGTAGAACGGGCGCCATTTGTGATTCTTCGCAGAATAGTACAAAACAAATAGAGCTATGGCGTTTCCAACAACTCCAAAACTGAACAGAAGAGTAACAGGTGCGATGTTTTCATAGACATGTTTGGCGGTAGTAAGATTTTGTATGGTGGAAGTCAGATTTTGTGTGGTAGAGAGAAAAGGATATGAAGTGGTAGTTCCATCAAATTTTAAAAATGATTCCACAGTTTTGTTTTTACCTTGAGCATCCCGTATACTTATATTACCCATAGAAACAAGGCTTTCCCTCACGGTACTTTGAACTTAAAAGCAACAACAACTCACTGTTAGCTCTTTGTGTCAGGGTAATTGAAAGGACAGATGAAGCCATCCTTTTTAGGTGGTCCTTTTATATACATTGTGCAATGTGAACCTTGGTCCTTGGTGTCTTGAGTACCCTATCGATCTCAAAACTTAATTTTCGTCAATATATACGATTTTACAATTTTGTACAAAAATGCGGAAGTTTGCTAACAATAATCCCTTAATTAACTTTTGAATACAATTCAATGACGTTGGGATTTTATTTTCCAATGTGATTAGTAAATTATAATTCAAAATTTTTTAATTGTCATCTTGATATTTAGTGATTTAACAAGAGTTCAACATTTTAATAAACTATATAAATACTAACAGCTGGTTAGCTTCTGGTTCAAGCTTTTCTTGTATCCCAAGCAATACATTAAGTCTCGACAGTATCAACAAATTAGAAAAGTTCCTGCATCGTCATTTCCTTGCAGATCCAATCTAAACAGATAGTAATTGATTTTAATGCATTGTACATCCCGAAGAAACTCCCTTCTGATATGAGCAGGTTGACACAAGGTGATTGGAAAATCAAAAACCAGAACTTTACAAACTAAATACGAATAATCTGATAGATTTTCTTTTCCAAAAACACGCGTTTTCATAAAATTTTCACTAAAACTGTCGGTAACAGTACTCAAAACATTAATACAGACTGACTCATATATGAGGATCAAAGGACAGCTTCAAGAAACTTTTAGAAAAATACAATATCAAGATATTTTACCAAAAGCAATACACTTGTATATCAAAACGTACCTCTTTTCAACAATTGTACACCATCATTCCTCTCCATGAAAGCTTTTAGACAACACATACAAATGCTTTATAAGTGCAAGTAGAACTCGTGTATTTAATTACCTTGTTATTGATCATTTCCAATTATTTTGTTCCAAAGCATTCTGATTCTGCATACAAGAACTCCAAAGTTGATATTTAAAAGATGTTTGCTTCGTCGACTTACAATATCATCTTAATTTTCCAACATAAAATATATTGAGATAACGAACAGTTTTCAAGATCAAAAAATCCATTAAACAATACAAAATTGGAGCAGAGCAAACACGGACCTCCAAAACATCAGAGGTGGGAACTGGTGCCATGGAGGAGTGAGCATCCCCTGCCGACCGGTAACACCCACTATGTTCTCATTGTCATGATCTAAAAATAAAGTAAGAATCGGTCGACAATTCTTTGTGTAAATAATGGCCTCATAATTAGTATAAAAACGTCAGTCAGCATTTGACTTAATGATATTTGCTGACAAGAACATTGTATCAACCATAAAACTTGCGAAATGATGATTTTTCCGTTATTTCCCATTCATGACTATGAGCACACGGTGAGTGTGACCGTTCGGCAGGGGATGCTCACTTTTCATTGGGACCTGATCTCACCTCTGATGTTTCTTAGGTCCCTGTTTATTTTGCTCCTATTTTGTATTTATTTATAGAAGCTCGAAAACTGTTATATATTTCCATTTCTCCATATATTTCATATGATACAAAGAAATTGTTTATGTCTAGGAATGATTTATTCTTATCACAAAAGTTGGTCCAGAGTGATTATAGCAACTTTTGTTATAACTCTTATTAGAATGAATTATGTATCTTGGGATAATATACTATTTCCTTTCTTTTAAATTTCTTAAAGAATACGTACATAATGAAATTTTAGCTATAAAAGTGAAAACTTTCCTTTTGTTGCAAATTAATTAAAACGATTGTTAAAAGCTGAATTAACGTGTTAAGCTTAACTAAGTGTTCAAGTAGTAGGTGTTCACAAGATAACTGTACAGTATTATCAATAAAACCAGGAAGATTGAATATGGAGATAACGAAGGTAATCCAAGCTCAGAGATATAGCAAGAACAAATTCAGTTTAATCTTTTGATCCGTTCCAAAAACCGCATGTATGCTGTAAAGAAGATTTTTATAGTTTGTAATCGATACGCTCAGTACTCAAATATTTTTCAATTTATTAAAAACTATGCAGGATGGAACCCAAGACATGAATTAATAGCTTATCTATGTCAGTTTACTGCACAACATTCAAAGGATAATCCTGTCGTAACGCTCTAGATATTCTAATTGTGCACAGTGTATTTGTCTTCCTTCTTGTCTTATAGTTTTTCAGTTCAACAAAGGAAATCATCAAATTTGAGCTGTTCGCCTTACAGGGCCTGGTCCTCGGTCTTAAGTGCTGAGACAAGTATCCTCATTATATAATCAAGAATTCAATGTATAACGTATACTCTTAGCAGTATTTTGTTTTTATAATTTCAAAATTGGTATCATATTTATACTGATACACAAAAGAAAAGCAACAAGAAGTTATCTACAAATGTTTGATTTTTTATCTAATGATTTTCAAAAATGAACACAGTAAGGTAAAAACTGAAATCATAAAAACGCTTGTCATTGGGGAAAAAAAATTAGCTTTCAAATTTAATTTTATCATGCGAACGTGATAACATTAATCAAAATGAAAAGCCACTTCCATAAAATCATACAATGTTGAAAAGGTTTATTTATTATGCACACATCATCCTTTGTATACCCCGCCGTCATCTGATAATTTAGTGCTAGGAGTACGGTTTGATGCTGACGTTTTGCTTGTATCGGCGGTTCCTGACATTCCCGATAATTCGTGGCGGATTTCGAATTTCTTCCCGACCAAACGTTCCATGCCACCCAATAAAAGAAGGAGAACCTCTTTCCGGAAAAGAATATATATCCATGGATCTACCACAGAATTTGTGACGCCCATGCGCAGCAGATTCAGTTCCGTTTTACCCTCGCCATCAGTGGCACCGGAAGCATGCTGAAGTATGTTTACCTGAATTATCAAAGAATACTTTAAGTTTTAGTACCTAATAATTATTCATCTTCGCTAGCCAAGGGTTTCTGATACGCTACTCTGAGGAGAGTAGCGTATCAGAAACCCTTGGTTAGCGAAGATGAATAATTATAAACATTACACGTTTTGATGATGTGAAAACCTGATTTGCAGTTAATAGCTAAAATGTATTATTTCGTTAATCTTAGTTTAACTATTCATCAGGTCGTATTCTATGCCAATATTTAGATATTAGTGTTTATACTAATTCTGACCTCGTCTAATTGATCGATACATGGAACTCATTTGATGGAGATGCTTACTCTTTCTGGTCACCCGATCCCATCCCTAGTATTTTCCTATGCTCTGTGTTTTATGCCTTATTTGTCCTCTTTAAAGTTTATTTTTAGATCCATTACTGCTTGCTATCTTATTCTATTTTAATGAATTTCTTCTTTAACTTTAAGGAGGCTGGTGGGTCAACAAATTAATCCCAAATTAACCACCAGATTTAATTAATTTTTTTTAGATACGGTATCTTTAGCTGTCAACAATCATTTGGCAAAGAAAAAATTTATATATCTTAATTTTAAAATTTGGTCTTTTTGTATATCTTTATATGGAAAGGCGTAAAAATGGCTGCCACCCCCTAGCCTCGTTAAATTAAAGAAAAAGGCGTGAAGAAACGCTCTTCATGTAATTATTTTTAAAAATGTATGCTGTGCCATGGTAAATGGGGGAGATTCACAGAATTGATTTAATTATCAGAATTTCAATTATGCATGTTAGAAAAAAATTTCATATTCTTCTGAAACTTAAGAATTGAATTATAATGATTTCATTTGTACAGTATATAAAAACCGATGAAAGAGAAAAAAAAAGAAAAGTGATAGATCGAAAAAAATTTGCAAAGAATGCAAATCTTTAAACAGAACATAAAACACAGGCCCTCGGAAATTCCAGAGCTGAGATTAATTGTCTAGGAGGAGTAAGCATCACCTGTTGACCGTCACACATGTTGTTAGCCCTATGTATTGATCAAGTAGACGGGACATTTCAAAAATAATTTTAGTATCTTTTATTTCTAGCTATATATATGCACTATCTTTAATATATCGCTAGAAAAAGAAGCAGAATTTCTTACCATAAGAGGTGCCCAGCAAGACGTGAACACTGTGACGATGGTTAGGAGGAATACAATCACGTGCAGATCTCGTTTTCTGCTTCTTTTCCTTTGGACGATTCTGTTTCTGACGAAGAAGAACACAACTAACATGTTGATAATGATAGTTAGAAAAACAACTATAACACCGGTTATGGCATATATGTAAGAATATATTATGTTCTCTCTTGCCTTTGGATTATTTTTTAACTCAATAAAGTTCAGAAAACACCAAGACCCTGGGTAAACATTTTTGCTTGATCCAAAGCCATACAGGTGAAGACTGCATAGAATTCCGGATAAACACCATACAACCCCGAGTGTGATGTTAGTTCGGAGTTCCTTCTGCGGAGAATTGTAAAGGAATGGATAGAAAGTTGCAAAGAAGCGGTCAAACGACATACAACACACGATCATGGCAGACGACATCAGAGTGAACATGAACACAAAGCCTAGGTAATCACACAATGGCTTCGGAAAAGTATAGTTAAATTTAGATATGTAACGGTACTCTGCAAAGGGGTAGGAAGCTAGAATCCCTCCACCATCGGAGATAGCAAGCCCACAGACAAATCTGTAAAATGGACGCCACTTGTGAGTTTTAGCTGAGCAGCACAAAACTGTAAGAGCAATTGCGTTTCCAACTACTCCAAATATAAACAGAAGAGTCACAGGGGCTGCATTTTCATAAACATGTGTTGTCGTAATTGTCGGCATTGTGGTAATGTTCTTTGAAAATTCAAAAGTGGTCATATTTTCGCTTTTCATGATGTTTCTCTAGACGGGGATCTACTAACAATACGGGATACACATTCACTTGTCCCGGTAAAAGTATTATCAGCTCTTTTTGAAATGATAACGAGGTATAAAAGGAAATAGCGGGTATTGAAACAGCGAATGATATGTGATACCGGTTCACAAGGTGTTTACAGTTGACTTTGTGGAGATTCAAATAATTTCCTTTGTTTGGGCTTAATCTAAAATCATACCAATGTTAGCATAGTATCGGATGATTAGAAAGATGACACAACCCCAAAATATATATTGTTACTTTGAAATCGAAAGTAGTAAGATGAAAGCTTTCAACATTATGTCATTTTGTAAGTTTTCCTTATTTTAACTGCCCTTTAGTGTTGATTTTAGTAGGAAGTTTTGCGAATGTTAACTTATGTATCTAGGACAGGGACAATACGTAATGATAAGCCAAAATGAGGAAACTTTATAAACGCTTACTTGACACCTCCCGTTTTTCTCATTATAATTTGCGATGAACTACATCTTCAAGTGTGATTTCTTTTATTTATATTAATTACCTTAAAGTTTGCTTTAAAGGATGGTGAAATCAGCTGAGGCATTTTTCAGATGTAGCTTTATAGTTTTAATTTTCAATATGAAAAGATGTATACAATTTGGGGGAAAGATGTTTTTTTTTGTTTTTTCTGGTAGTGGTAAATTAAATTTAGAATAAGATTAAGTTGATAAAAATATACATGTCAATTTTACTTTCATAGCAATATTTTTGTATAGTTAAGCGGACCACTAAGATGACAAAGCTTGGTGGTTAGAGACATTTTTTTCGTAAATGAAGTGTTTAATCCTACTTTGGGCACTTGATGATGTGTTTTGTTTTTCTATATGGTTCTTTATCTGCATTGTTTTGGTACATTAAGCTGAACATTCCAACTTTACTGAGTCCGTTTCAAGTAGGAAGTTAAACTTGTGTGGAATGTTATTCCATCTGGATAGAGTTTTTAAAACTCTTTACTGCTTAGCACAGCATCGAAGAAATGTGTATAAGCAGAAGAGAATAAGAGTAAGATGGCTTAAGGCTGAACACGACTCATAAATAGGCATACGCCATTTTCGATGGCATTATCTACGATACATCAACACTAGGGTATACTCATCGCATTCGTTACACCTGACCGCTTTATTGTCACGGGTATCGGCGTGGAATGGCGACCCGTGTTCGTGCTGGTTATCTTGCATTACCTTTGTTTATATTTTATTGCAGTTACGTTTATCTGTGTTGTTTATATACTGCACTGACTTATACAACTATAATGGTACATTTATTTGGTATCTTATTTTCCTGCATTAGACGAAGTATTTCGTTATTATTCTGTATAGCATACGTCCGTCTACACCGGTGTCGACTGATTACACTGAACAGTGACTAAGTCCTGTCCTATTCATAGGGGTCTGCAGAGTAGCGAATCTCGGGAACAAAAATGGTGGACAGATTCCTTTTACGAATCCTGTTCAGCTTTAAGGAAGATTTAACTACATAAAAATTATACAAAGAAAATGTTAAAGCATCCTACATGGACAGAGGAGAAATGCGACTTGTTTTGGAGATTTTCTAAGTCAGTAAAATACTAATTATCAACTCCGTTGCGTAGTGTTTTGTTTACTTACAGACATTGAGTAATTATTATATAATACGCAAAGACTTTTATAAAGATTTACAAAACGTACTAGTATTTTGCTGTTACAAATTTCCGAAATAATGGTTATCAATTGTAGATCCTGTAAAATTCCAACAATTTTAAAAATATTAATCGTATGGTATTTTTTTTTTTCAAAACGAATAGCATCATTCATTTGTATGTTGATTCGATAAATCGTGGTAAACTTGACGTAAAGCTACTACAAAGTCTACCACATCAGCTTAATATTTGCATGTTTTATCAACTAAGATATTAATATCCAACTAACAACAGAATAATATGACGGTCCGCAGGGGCTGTTCGCTCCTTCATGGCACCTGATCCCATCTATGAAGTTTTGGAGGTCCTTGTTTGCTTTGCTCCTATATTGAATACTGTTCGTTATCTTCATATGTAACATTTTTGAAGAAAATTTTCATATTTTATCACAAATATAAATTTTTTATCCATATGTATTGAAAAACTGCTGAATCACGCCGGATATGGTTATATTTCACTGAACACAGTTATATTCCCTCGCGTGTAATCATTCTGTATATTAAGGACAGATGATACAGACAAAAAACGGATGCCTGGATTGGTATATTTTTTGGTCTTATTTCATTGAAAATGATGTAAAAAATATTTTTCTAGAATATGTTTTAGGATGCGACCGGTGGGGCGAGCGCAGTTGTACCATCAAAACACTTGAAAAAATTGATCAGCCACTTTGAACGTCAAGCCGTACGAGACATCTCGACTACCTGTGACGTCATACGACGTCACAAAGCTCGTCGGAGCTTACGGAGACAGCCGAGCGTCTGTTTGAAACTATAGAACTAGTGCAATTTTTGTCGAAAAACATTGCAGAGTTATTTTTTGTTTCTTTGAAAGATTTCTACAAACTGAAAGCCTGTTATATATGCTTTACGTTATTATTTATTTATTTATTCGCGCAAAGGACATTGGGTAGTGCAGGAATTCTGGGAATGTTTCACAACAAAATTTGCAATCGGCAATCCTCGGCTGACTCCGCTACGCTCCATTCAAACCTCGGATGTGATTAGTGGAGGAATACGCATCAAATCCTTACATTTCTTCGCCGGAAACTGCCTTATCACGCATTTCATAGTTCGCTCTGCATAACGTTCTTTGAAAATGTTTCTTAATTTGTGCAATTCTTTATCGTAAACAGGTTTTGATTACAACCTCATGTACGTAGGCTTTGAAAGCTAGAACAAACTGTTGAGAGCGCCACACAATAACTCCGATCTCAAATGTATGACACTTGAATGAAATTCAAATAAGATCACATGACTGAAACAGCAAGATGGAAGATCACCGTTGACGTCCGAGGTTATGTGCAAGGTACGAGTCATCCGAGGAAATCCGAGTGCAAAATTTGCTTGACGTATGTACAATTTCGAATTTCCTCTGTTCTTACACGTTAGTCTATTGAGCTCGCGACGCTCGCTATAAAGAAATTGTAAACCTTCTATGATGTTCAAAATTCTACCTCTCTGAAACCATCCCTATTAATCTATACAAATATTTTTCACTTCAAATCCCATTTTTGTGAGAATTTGAATAAAAATTGAAAAACTACGCAGTTAAACTTATTCATTTTACTCATTTAAACATGATTCAAGTTGTTAGTTTCAAATTTTTTAACAAAAGTTTGTATCATCTGTCCTTAATGAAGTTGGAATTCGAAATTCACAGAGGCAGTTGCTAAGCAAATTGTTAATTTGAATTCTGAGGAATTAGATAATCTAATTGAGGCGAAAAACTCCTTAAATACAACAAAAGTTATTAACACATATGTCAGTATACTGAAAACATTCTGCAATGAAGCAGGACAGGATATTTCGGAATTATACTCGTCCATTATTATTGAACTAACAGTACTAGTACCACGAATCACATTTTTATTTAACAATTAAAAATGCTTTTTTTTCAGACATGTACATGCACATAGTACTCTTCAATTGATATATTCGACGATCAATTTGGGTTCCATGTTTTAAGATGTTATATATCATATATTACATGGCTGAATTCTCGGGCAGCTGCCCTCGAAGCAATGAAATATATGTACATGTATAAGGTTTCATGACAAACGAGACAATGCAAGCCTCAGTCATCATGCAGTCTTATATATCATCAATTTGCTATCATTTGCTTTAATTTTGATCCGTATTTCTCAAATTTGATTTGGTGAACAAATGAATGCTCTGAGTTTGAAACGCAACTTAAAAAAGAGTGTAACATGGTTTACAATTTACAACAATCTTGTATTTTGCAAATTATGTGGTAATTTCAATGGTCTTTTTTGCAGCCTATTGTTGGTCTGGTATTGACTGATTTAGAAATACATCATTCTAATTAATTGCAAGGCCTTTGTTTTGTACCCATTTTGGCTATATTTAACTCTGTTAACCTGATCAATACAAAATGCACCTACGTCAGGCGTGACCAGTAAAAGCAAAGCGGAAAGCTTACTCCTCCTAAGTACATGTACCTAATCCCATCTCTTTGTTTTCAATGGTCAGTATTTTATACCAATCAATTTGGGTTGCTTCAGGATTTATGGGATTTATCGATGTTCACCTTTTTCATTCAGAAGAAAACACTTTATGTTAAAATTGATTGCTTTTTAAAAGCATTTTTTCATGCTTTTAGCTTGTCTTTAAAGAGAACTTATTATTTTTCGTTGTACAAGTTTTTACCTCGATTAAAATATAAATATTGATCATATTATCAACGTCAAAACAAAGAAAGATTGCATCAATGATAATCACGAATCATGTGATAAATATAATTATAAAATTCTTGTTAGCAGAAATAGGTTTTCAAAACTTCTTGGCAAAAAACATAATAAAAAACCCTAAGAATTAAGTGTCCATTAAAGAGAGCCTGAATAATCTAATCTTGGTCAAGAACAGAAGCACCGAAATATACTTGTCGACAGTGGCAATCCCTTTTTTGTTCAAAACAATGCGATGCTGTTAAACTCTTTTATTTATATTTTAATCATATCTATGCTCTATATCAATATCGTTATGCAAATATAACTATTATGACAATATTTAAATTTGAATGTTTCGGCCGATTGAGTACTTATTAATTTCGATTTAAAGAGGCGACACGGGCTGCACAATCTCCAGACAACTTCTTTGTAAGCTTGAATTTTCTTCTAGTAACAGTCTCCAGAGCACGAAGCACAAACAAAAGAAACTCTTTTCGAAACAAAATGTACACCCAGGGATCTAGGACAGAGTTAAATACGCCCATGCGCAGTAAGTTGAGTTCAGTATCGCCCTCTCCTGTGACTGCACCAGAGGCATGCTGAAGGATTTTTACCTGATAAAATAAAAATAAAATTACAAAATAACAAATCTTTATTTCAAAATCCCAAATTTAATTAATACAAGTATATATTTAATGAAAACATTGTAATAATTTTTTATCTAACAATCCTTTTTTAAACTCAGAACTACTGTATTTGAAATAAAACATGTTGAAGGATGTGATATTTATCAACAATAAAATAAATTGATACAACCTGGTGAGTTTGAAATAAAAGGTACCACAGAGTCTGATACATCTGTTTCATACTTAAATATTTTACTTGAAAAAGACGTTAATGGTAATCTAACAACCAAGTTCAATGATAAACGCGATGACTTATCTATCGTCAACTTCCCTTACTTATGCAGCAATATACCTTAAACACCTGCATATGGAATTTATATTTCTCAGTTGATTCGATGCACAAGAGCATGAACAATTTCTAAAACGAGTTAAAGAATTTAAATTTATCATTTCGTACGTTTTATGGTCGATACACTGACCTTGTCAGCAAATACAATTTATCATTGAGCCGAATACTGACTGACGTTTTTCATACTAATTTTTACTTCATTATTTATACACTGATTTCCATTATTTCCCGACCATGACATGGAGCACACGGCGGGTGTGACCGGTCGGAAGGGTATACTCACTCCTTCATGGCTCCAGGTCCCACCTCTGATGTTTTGGATGTCCGTATTTGCTCTGCTCCTATTTTTGTATTGCTTTATGGGCTTTGATATTGAATACCGTTTGTTATCTCCATATCCTTCTTATTTTAAGAAGATTGTTACACCCTTCCTTTTTCTCTTTTAGAATTTAAATTCCCCTTGGGTGTAACCAACTTGACTATGAATCTAAACACACAAAATTTCTACCTGTCTACCTTGGTAACTGATGAGAGGTATGAAGATGTTTTCGTGGTGCTGTTGGAATTCGAGGATTTATTTTTTGAAGAAAAAATGCAATGTAAATAGAAACTTTAGAATTGTTATCACTTGATAAAAATGTAACAATTGGAGAGGGAAGGAATTTATAATTCATAACAATATTCATTCAAGTAAAATAGACGAACATCATTATGCATTTTATTACTAGTATTGTTATTCTTTATTTATGCTTTAAAGGGTTGAAACAAATAAAAAAACATTTTCTTTTTTTTCGCCATAGAACTGCAAATTACGGACTAAAATACTTTATGATAAATAGTCACTCTCTTTTGCTGTTATAATATACCTGAATATATGTTTGCATACAATTCCTGTTTTAGAGGGAAGAATTTAGAATACAAAATATCACATGCTTCCTCTACCTCGTCAATACACGGGTTCAAAAGAGGTTAGAGGGTAGGACCGGTTAACAGGGGATGTGTACTCCTAGGCATCTAATCAAGCTCAGGATTTTTGTAATAGTCTATGTTTTATGCCCTGATTAGTTTTTTAAATAACCACTGTTCTTTTTCATTTCTCTATCAAGTAGGGTAAAGGCATTCTATCTAAAACTATTCATTTGCAGATTTCTAAATTCTGAATTGTTGTTCCTATTAAATTTATCAGATTGAAAGCGTTCTCAAAAATTTACCATGAGAGGTGCCCAGCAGGATGTGAACACAACTACAATAACAAGAAGGAATACAATCACGTGCAGATCTCTTTGACTTCGTGTTGTCCTGACAAAGATATTCCTGACGAAGAAGAAGACAACCAGCGTGTTTACTGAAATGGTTAACAGGACTATTATCACACCGGTAGTGGCGTAAATATAGGAATATATCATGTTAAGTCGTTCTTCGGGACAGTCGGGTCTCACGTGAATAAAATTCAGAAAACACCATGAACCGGGATACATCGCTTTGCTTGATCCGAGTCCGAACAGATGTAAACTACTCAGGAATCCCGAGAGAATCCACACAATACCAAGTATGATATTTGTCCGGCGTTGTTTTGTTGTAGAGTTGTATAAGTACGGAAAGAAAGTTGCAAAAAATCTGTCAAAAGACATACAACACACAATCATAGCAGACGACATTAAAGTAAACATGAACACAAATCCTAGGAAAGCACACAGATCTGGAGAGAATTCATAAGTAAAGTTGGATATATAACGCGACAAGGCAAAAGGATAGGATACCAGAATTCCTCCCCCATCAGAGATGGCAAGACCGCAAACGAATCGGTAAAACGGGCGCCATTTGTGAGTTTTCGCAGAACAGCATAAAGCAGTCAGAGCTATAGCATTTCCACTGACTCCAAATAAAAACAGCAGCGTGACAGGTGCAGCATTCTTGTGAACTGTAAAGTTTACAGCTGGTCTGTGACAATCAACAGAGATGTTGGGGATGGTTGTCATGTCCATAACGAGTGTCCCTCACTGAACGTCAACGGAACTTCCTCTTATATCGAGATATCTGTGCTTCCCTGTCTCTGAAAGTTATGTCATCACCTGATGAATTTTGAATTGATAAGCCTGTGTTTTCAAATACTTCTGTGAACTAGGTCTGCAACGTAAGGTCCAGATAATGTTAATTGTGTTTCAAAGGATCCTTGTACTAGTATTTCATCTACTTACGAATTTTTCACTCAGATTTATGAGACTGCTGTTCATGATTTATCTTTCATGTTCTCTCTTCTTTAATGGGATATTATCCCCCCAAATTTCGTAAATGCCACAAATTACTAGTATTTTATAAGGTGTTTGTTTGTTTGTTTGTTCTTTTACGTCCCTCTGGAGAATTTTTCACTCATATGGAGACGCCATCACTTGCTGGTGGAGAGCTGCAAATTTTGTCCTATGCTCGGCAATAGGCAATAGGGCCCTTGAGCAGTGAGGGATCTTTTTCGTGGCAACACCTACTGCGGCACAGGATCTCCGGTTTTAACAGTCTCATCCGAAGGACCGGACTCACACGGTCGGATTTGAACCCGCGACATAAGGATCAACTCCTTGTTTCGCGACTCTAGAGCAGAAGCTCTAACCACCGTCCCAGGCGTGCTTCTATTTGGTGATTGTATTGATGTTAATAGACCTCTAGATTGTGATGACTTTAACTTTCCTATCGTCGACTTCCCTTACGTATGCAGCAATATACCTTCATCACTAATAACTTGCATACCACGTTTATATATCTCAGGTTATTCGATACGCAAGAAGTTATTCTACGGATGAACAATTTCTAAAACGAGGTATATTATTGACAAGCCAGTTGATGAAACAAGACTATCAGCAGTCTCGTTTAAAGTCATCATTTCGTATGTTCTATGGTCGATACAAAGACCTTGTCAGCAAATACGGTTTATTATTGAGTCAAATTCTGTCCGACGTTTTCCATACTGATTGGTAGTCCATTATTTATACACTGAATTAACGGCGGATTTTTTCCGTTATTTCCCGTTCATGACAAGGAGCATGGCTTTTAAACAAATTGCTGTTCACCCCTAGTTTACCTGTGACTGTCCATTCTGTAAACAATGGACTTGCCATTGTGAGGGTGTGTGTGTGTGGATGTGGGTGTGTGTTTTATATGTATCTTACAACATGAATTCGTAATATATTAAGCATGTACCCATTTTGTGCATTATTTTATTTAATTCTCAGAACAAAGGAAATTATCTTTTGAGAAGGAGAAAGGCCCCAAACTGTTCATTCTATGAGAGAAAGAATTAATCGAGGGCCGTAGGCCCGAGGTTTTGGGTTGTTCACGATACTAGCTAGGAACAATTATGACATCATTAGGGTTGTCAATTGTTATTTACTAACTTAAGAAAATTATTTCTGCTACAATTTTTGGAGTAAAAACAATCCGTTTAATATAATCGGCAGAGGATACTCACTACTCCATGACACCTGATCCAATCTTTGATGATTTAGAGTTCCTGTTGTTCTTTTCCTTATTTATATTGTTTGAATGGACTTTTGAGCTTAAGTACTGTTCATTATCTCCATAATTTAATTTGTCAGTAGCCTGCCTCGGTTTAGAAATTTGTCCTACTTAGAACATGGTCTTAAGTATCGAATAAGTTGGGGAAAGTAAAAAAACATTTACAGATGATAGCAGAATATTATTGGATAAATAAATAAAGCTGACGACGCAGAAGCTGATATTACCTTGTTTTTCATAAAACTGAGTTGTAAGTAGAGGCGAATATTTACGTTTTCTGTCTGATGACAATACAATTTTGCTTTGATCATATATTGTACATGTACATAAATAGACGTATTTAAAACAATTTTATGAAGTTATTTGAGTAATCATATACATATTTGAAGCGTACATGTTTATTAACATATTAATTGACGTATTTAAAATTTACGGTGTGCGCAATTATCATAAACCTACACATGTATCAAGAAAAAGAAAGCAAAAAGTAAAAAGAAATATTCGGGATGATTCCAAACTTCTCGGAAGTTTCCGACAAAATCGGAAATCAACCGTTGAAGTGACGAAAGTATGACGTCAGATAAAAAGTTCTGTTGACTTAGGACGCAAACGCTAGTTTTATGGAAAAGAGATTGCATTAAATCGTTCTTTTCAAGTAAGTTGTTGCTATGTTTCAGCCACCATGTTGCTATGCACAGCAACATGTTTTATCACGGAAGCAACCGACATAATTCCGTAAGTTTCCGGTGGTATTAATGCAATAAGCATGGGGGTATTTTTTTGAATAAGGCAAGGCAAAATCATTTCGTTAAGTTCTCGGTAAGAATTTACAATGTTCCTTTAATTTTTTTTACTAATTTAACCGCTGGGAATGTTGCACAGAGAAAATATGTACAGCTTTCAATCCGAATTTCATCTGTTCATACACTAATGCTATAAAATGTTTGAAAATGCTGTATAAATTGTACCGTCTTGTAAAATGAGCAAATTAATTAATAAGTAAAATTATGTGATGGTGCATCAGGCTTAAACGTACTAGAAAATATAGTAGTCTTTTCAGAAACAATTTGAACAAAAATTCGAATTCACAGATAGAATAAAAAATATTATCACTCTTCAGTGAATGGATGCATCTGAATTTCCTTCAAAGCATTAATTTTTGAATGGTTAAACGCTTTATTTTCAGCATTTAAAGAAAAATGACATCTTTTTGCTACATTTTAACTCCGTATCTCATTCTTTTATATGTTCAGGAAACTGCATTCAGTCAACATATATTTTAGAAATATCGGTAGAAATACCCGTTCTTAATTTTCACAAGGTACACAATAAAAATCTTCCGTGTTAAACAGTTGTTTCGTTCCTAACGTCTGATACATTCCACTGTAGTCTAGATAGCAACGGTATTTCACAGAGAAGAAACCAATCTTATGTTTTCTATGCAGCTCTTATTCTTTTTGAGAATCTGAATGTTTTCCTTGTTTACCTTTTACTCAGGCTACATGCTAACAGTACAAACCAAAAATCAAATCAGGCCAACCAATCTGGCCGCCTGTCCGATTAACAGGAAATTCACAGAATTTTAAGACGTGTCATGTTAGCGTTGTTGGTATTTAATGATTTAAAAAAGGAAGGTATTGTTTCAATACAAATATTTAAAAATACGAAATTTAAAGAAGTTAAGGACCACGCCTTCTTAATTGTTGAAACTCAATAAAAAATCAGTAAGATCACAGAAACCGCTTTTACCAACATGTCCTCCTTAATGCAAATTATAATATTAAATCATGTATTTAAGAATTTAAAAAAGTTGCGTAAGACATTAATTTTTATTTGATATTTTTATTCAACAATATAGACAACAAGAATCGCACACAAACAATTTTTTAAAATGTGAAAAATTCAAGAAAGTGTATGCAGATCAATTGAAAATTTAGTGTGAATGGCTAAGGCTGTTGAATATTTTAAGGGAAAACCCAAAAGGAATGATAATCAGACATTTTATATTTTATGTAATAAACACCGTCAACTGGAAATTCAAGAGATCCGGTACCAAAAAGAAAAAGCATCTTCTGTTGACCGGCCAAACGCGCTGTGAGCCTTATGTATTGATCAGGTTGGCGGAACTTCAATTCAAAAACCTAATGATTCTTTCACTCGATCCTGTAAAGATGTCTCCATGTACAAAAGAAAGACTTCAAATTTAGATATTTACTAGACACTAAGAGTCGTTGAGCAGTGACTTCAACTTTCATTTCAAGAACTGTACATTCAACTCTTTAATTTTTCTTTATCATGGAGATTGAATTACCCTTTGAAGAAAATGGTCAGTAAGATTTCTTTAGATATATTTGTTGATTTTAAAACTTACAAGAAATTTCAAACATTGAACAGGACTCTCGACATTCCGATAGAATAAAAAAAAAACAATGTCGAAAAATCTTAATTCCTTTACCAATTTAGCTGGACACATCATTACAGATGTTGAGGTGTTTACTTCATACAGGATGTATTTAACTGTAGGCGTTAATGGTTAACTTTATTCAAGCTTTTTCAGTCTATTAAACAAACCATATTTAAGCAGAGCAAACATGGACCTCCAACACATCAGAGGTGGGATCAGGTGCATGGTGGAGTGAGCATCCCCTGCCAACCAGTCACACCCGCCGTGTGCTCCTTGTCACGATTTGGAAATAACGAAAAAATCCGTTTACAATTCAGACTGTATGTAATGGCCTCGTAATCGGTATGAATATTTGATGAGTATTTGACTTAATAATAAATTGTATTTTCTGACAAAGTTATGGCATCGACCATGATAAAATTTACAAAATGATGACTTAAACGAGACAGCTGATAATATTGTTTCAGAAATTTTTCTGTCAATAATTTACCTCGTTTCAGAAGTTATTCATACGTCGAGCATGCTCTTGCGTATCGAATCAACTGAGGGATATAAACTCCGTATGCAGGTGATGAAGGTATATTGCTGCAGAAGTAAGGGATGATTGTAGTTGACGATTGAAACGTCATCACCATCACGTTTATCATAAAGCTTGGTTGTTAGATTACCATCAACGTCTTTTTCAATTAAAATATCCAATATGAAACAGTGTTGAAGGCCATAGCAAGTGTTTTCTTCTTTTTTCGCATAAGATGTTTTTTTTTTTTTTTTACAAAGTCTTCATATGAATACAGAAATAGGTCTGCTAATAACAAGGTGCAATTAGTACCCATGGGATTTCCAATAGATCATTCGAAGACCTGTTCTCTAAAAACCACATAGATATTGTCAATCAGAAACATAAGCATCTTTTTAATATCAACTTCAGAATACTGTCGTGTATAATCAGAATGTTTTTAAAATAGTTTTTCAAATGACCAATGACAAATTAAGGTAAGTTAAGTTAAGAGTTTCATTCTTATTGAAAAAGCAGCTGTCAATGCTATTAAGAAGCCTGGACTTACATTT